ACCACCCAGTGTGGGTCTGCTGCAGTTTGCAAACCTCTAATGAAACACCCTGACAAAATGCTCTCTGCAGTGGGGACACCCTGGCTGTTACCTTCTCCCCCTGCAGCAGTTTAAGGTTCTACTAATAGAACCCAGTTTTCTCGGGCCTCACTCTGTCTCTGGAGAATGCCTGGATACTCCTCTCTCCAGCAGGAAGCTGCCCATCGTTTGACGGTTTCAAACTTCACTTTTCCTTACTCACGGTAGACGTGAACGCAAAAGGAGGACGCAAAAAGAGAGCAAATCCTAGTTCCAGGTGACTGTCCTTCAGCACCTGGGCATCATGATGGCACCAGGTGGACACAGGGGTGACAGCAGGGCTGAACACACTTACCACACTCATACTCCGGGCAGCACTGGCCTGAGCCCTGATGCAGGCGGGCCACTTCACAAGGGCCACAAGTGGGAACTGGAGAAGGAAGTCAAGGCAGAGAGTTAAGGTGTGGCAGGTGAGAGGCTGGTGGGGAGGATGGAGAGGGGGAAGCCTCTGTAGTGGAGGGATTCATTCAACCAGGAGAAGGGGGGTGCTCGAAAGAACTGTACTGTAATCCACAATGCAAAAAAAAAAAAAAAGAAAACACATTTTTTTTAATCGCCTCCTGTAAAGCAGGGTGAGAAGCAAATGTGTTGAGGGTATTGCCGGTGGCAGTAGACACTGGCAAAGCACTCAGTGTCGAACCATTGCATGCCTGAAAGCCAGTCATGAGTAACTTTGCAATTTCATGGTCACTAATTTTTTTTTTTGCTTTTTGGGTCACACCCCAGCAATGCTCAGGGGTCACTCCTGGCTCTGCGCTCAGGAATTACTCCTGGCGGTGCTTGGGGGACCATATGAGATGCCAGGGATCGAACCCAGGTCAGCCGCGTGCAAGGCAAATGCCCTACCCGCTGTGCTATCGCTCTGGCCCAATTTTTTTTTATTTTAAATAAATGAATTAAACGTGTCCCATCAGGCCAAGAGATAGTGCAGTGGGTAAAGCGCTTGTTTTTGTTGTTGTTGTTTTGCTTTTTTTGGTCATACCCAGCGATACTCCTGGCTCTGCACTCAAGAATGACTGCTGGCAGTGCTCAGGGGACCATATGGGATGCCAAGGATTGAACTCAGTTTGGCTGCACGCCAGGCAAATGCCCTCGCCTCTGTGCTGTCGCTCTGGTCCCAAAGCTCTTGTCGGACATGTGGCCAACCAGGGTTCGATCCCCAGCACCCCAAGCCCTGCCAGGTGTGATTCCCTGAGTACAGAGCCAGGAGTGAGCCCTGAAAAAAATGTGATTTTTTTCTTTTTTTTTTTTTTGCATTGTGGACTACAGTACAGTACAGTTCCTCCTTCATATATATATATATATATATATATATATATAATATAATAATGTCACAGTCACAGTCCTCCCATTGTTCATCGATTTGCTCGAGTGGGCCCAGTAACATCTCCATTGTGAGACTTGTTGTTACTGTTTTTGGCATATCGAATACTCCATGGGGAGCTTGCCAGGCTCTGTCGTGCAGGCAAGATACTCTCGGTAGCTTGCCGGGCTCTCCAAGAGGGGCGGAGGAATCGAACTCGGGTCAGTCATGTTGGCTGTGTGCAAGGCAAACGCCCTAACGCTGTGCTATCGCTCCAGCCCTATATAATAACAATACAATATTATATAATAATAATAGCACTGTCATCCTGTTGTTCATTGATTTGCTCTAGCGGGCACCAGTAACGTCTCCATTGTGAGCATGTTACTGTTTTTGGCATATCGAAACACCACAGGGAGCTTGCCAGGCTTTGCCGTGTGGATGGGATATTCAGTAACTAGCCAGGCTCTCCGAGAGGGACAGAGGAATCAAACCCAGGTCAGTCGCGCGCAAGGCAAATATCCTACCTGCTGTGCTATCGCTCCAGCCCAATAATAATAATAAAAATAATCAATAAAATGTGGCATAAAGAACCAGAGAGGTAACACAGCAGAGATGATGCTTGGGCCTCCCCCAAGAGACACTTTCTCCGGAGGTCAAGAAGGGGATGGACCCCCCTGCCTGTGTCCACGTCTGGGTGGACCCAGCAAGCAGCAAGTGAAAGGTTGGGTCTGGGGGGGAGGGGGAGAGACATGCAGGGGGGAGGGGGACGGGGAGGGCGCTCACCGCGGGCTGTGGGGCAGGGCTGCGAGGAGCAGTTCACTCTCCGCCCCTCCAGGCATGTGCAGAGCTGGCAGGGCTGCTGGTCCGGGATCCAGGTTTCCAGGAACTGAGGGGACACAAGGTTCAGGTTGGGGTGCCTCCGTGAGGGGCACAAAGGTGCCTGTGGGGTGAGAGCCCGTGGCCTCCCTCGGGGTGAGTCCAGGCGAGGAGATTGGAGTGACCTTTATTTTTTTTTTTCATTTTACATGTATTTTTTTAAATTTTATTTTCCTTTTTAATTGTTATTAGTGAAACACCATGAGGTACAGTTGTAGACTTACAAATATTTGTGCTTGGGTTTCAGTTATACAATGACTGTGTACCCATCCCTCTACCAGTGCCCATTCTCCAAGACCCATGATCCTAGGATCCCTCCCTCCCCCACCCCCCATCCCTTTGAGACAGGAGGCTCTGCCTCTTCCGGCTGCTTCCCCAACCGTGATTAAGAAGGGGGCAGACAAGATCCAGAGACTACAACAAAAGCTCCCAGAAGAGAGCGCCACAGAATCTCCCCCACCCCGCTGTGCCAGGCTGTCTTCACTGGGGCCCCTCTGAGAGGGGCGGGTTGAGTTTCCCTCCCCGCCCGGAGCAGAGCCCAGGCAGCCAAAAACCTCCAGAACCCAGCCACAGACATGCTCAAGGCCACTCTCCACAAGCTCGATTGAGCCTCACACATGAAGGAATCAGCAGAAGAATCAAAAACCTCCAGAACCCAGCCACAGACATGCTCAAGGCCACTTTCCACACGCTCGATTGAGCCTCACGCATGAAGGAATCAACAGAAGAATCCAGGTGTGTGGGACCCGGGACTGAGATCTCCAAGCCTGCTCGGATCGGAACTGGGCCTCCATCCCCCAGCTCCCCAGTTCTCCGGTAGCTTGGCAGTCACGCCCACAAACTGCACCCAGCGCCATGTCATCTCACCAACGGCCTAAATCCAGAGACTATAAAATAAAGCTCCCAGAAGAGAGCAGCGCAGTACTTTCCGGAGCACGTGGCCGCATTTGTGGCCGTGCAGCCTCTTATACTCTAGCCCGCTGATGTACCTAAAGTAGAACATGTGTGTGTTCGGTTTTAACATACTTGCTTGCATTCTTGTATAGACGGGCTTAAATGGCCCCAGAATGAAATATAACAACCTTCACACACTTCGCTCTTATTGTAATAGGAAGATGCTCGCTGGTGGGGTGGGTGTCTGAATATTATCTGTAATGGACTACTGCGAACTACTTTATGAAAACAAAATGTATAAAAATCGTAAAAAAAAAAGCAATGGAGACACAAACAAATGAATCACATTGATCGTTTTGTTTGTGATCCTCAACTGAGGAGTAAATAAAACAGGTAAAGTGAGCAGCACAGCATAGATTTTTTAAATAAATGTGATTCTTTTCCCCTCAAAAAAAAAAAGGAGAAGAAGAAGAAGGGGACAGAGATCTCCAAGTCCACTCCCGTCCCACCGGGGGCTCCCCCAGGTTCATACCCACTCCCCTTCCCTGCCCACCTTGTCCCCTTGATCTGTATGATGCCAGCTCACTACTGAAGGGCGCCTGTTACATGCCACCTTTCAGGGCCTTAGGTCTGTTCTATGCTTACTTTCGCTGTCACCTCAAGAACATCGTATTTCCGGCCACTCCCCTGAGGCTGGAGACCCCCTGAAAGCACTCACCTAGGGTCACACGGCCTGGTTGGAATCGGAACCCAGGACCCACCTTTACTGTCTACTCATTGAAGGGAGTAGAACCACCCCCAGCAGTGCTCAGGGCTCATTCCTAGTTCCAGGCTCAAGGATCACTCCTGGTGGGGTTCGGGTCACCATAAGTGGGATCCATCCCGGTTGTCCCCGTGCGAGGCAAGGGCCCTCTCTGCTCGCCCACCCTCAGTCGTCTTGTTTTATGTTTCTTTTTTATTTATTTATTTATTTATTTTTGCTTTTTGGGTCACACCCAGTGATGTACAGGGGTTTCTCCTGGCTCGTGCACTCAGGAATTACTCTTGGCTCGGGGGACCATATGGGATGCCGGGGATTGAACCCAGGTCGGCCGCGTGCAAGGCAAACACCCTACTTGCTGTGCTATTGCTCCAGCCCCTGCTTCTTTTTTTAAAATTTATTTTTTTTATTTATTTACTGAATCGCTGTGTGAAAAGTTACAAAGCTTTCAGGTTTAGGTCTCGATCATGCAAATATCAATCACATTTCCCTTTCCCAATACTTATTTTTCACCACGAAGAACCCCAATAAACCCCCCCACCCCCCCCAATGTCTGTGGGGCAGATGAATTCTAGTTAACACTCTGTCTACTTTGACTAGCTTCATTGTTTCGATAAAAGTTGCACCATTATTATTTAGACTTTACTGCCCCCCCCCCCAACTCAGCCATGCTGAAAAAGCATGGTGAAATGATCTGCTTTCTACAGCTGGGTTCAAGAATTAAATGATGTCACGTGGCCGCAATAGTGGCCGCGCGGTTTTGGATTTCTGCTATTTTATTTATTAACCCTGGAAGTATTTCTACTGAGAGTCAGATAATTAAGAGATTGGTCTCTGTGCTTCTGGGGCCGGGGCCGTGCCGGAGAGCCGCTCGTGGGGGGCAACTGGTGACCTCAGTAGGGCGTGAAGGACGGGGCCAGAACGTCCCCCGTCCCATGAGGTATCCAGTCGCGCCCCCTCCCCCGGCTCAGACCTGCTCTCCACAAGGCTCCCATGCGGCCTCCATCTTTCTTTCCAGAGAGGAGAGGGTGCAGCCCCTGCTTCTTATGACAAATGAAAGAGACACAGAACACGAAAGAGAAGTCTGCAAGGATCCCAGAGACACCACAGAGGGGCCTTGTGCTGTAGTCAGAAGAAAATTTCCAGGGAATTTTCTCTGGAAAATTCTAGGAGTGAACAGACCTCCCCACTGGGACCTAAAGGAGGGGTCGTGCGTGTGGACAGGGGCTGGGGGGAGGGGGGTGGAGGGGGAGACAGACTGGGCAGGACCTTTCCCGTCCACCCCACTCAACCCACCACCAGACTCTTAATTTAGACTTCTCAGGAGATGAGAAAGGAGTCATTTCAAAAACTACTTTGGAAGAATTTTTTATTTCCTCTCTCACGTGGACACTTCGGATCAGCTCAAGACTTGATCACCAATATCCTGATGAGAGTCAAAGCAGAGATGATCAAAGGCAGGAGCTGGCCTCCTCCTCCAGAGAGTTCCATTTTCCCGGAGAGCTATCATGAGACCCACCCCCACCCCACTCCCATCCCGCATAAGGCTCTTCCTTTGGAACTCAGGGGTGGGGGCGGGGAGTCACCTCCCCCACTCCAAGTTAAGCCACCCAAAGCCCAAAGCGCCCACCACCAGCCCCGCCAGCCCAGTCTTCGGGTTATGCCACACCCTGTCCAGCAGGTGGCGCTCACGCTTCACCCACCAGGTTTCCAGGGCCAGGTGCATTTGATGTCCAGGAAAGAACAGGAGGAACCTTAGACCAGAGATAAGAAAGCAGAGACAGGGACCATGGAAACGGGGGCAGGCAGAAATCACTGACTTCCTCCTTAAGGAAAAGCCTGCTCTCTCTCTCGCTCCTCTCTCTCTCTCTCTCTCTCTCTCTCTTCGTTTGGGTCACACCCGGCGATGCACAGGGGTTCCTCTTGGCTCTGCACTCAGGAATTACTCCTGGCGGTGCTCGGGGGACCCTACGGGATGCTGGGAATCGAACCCTTGTTGGCCGCATATGCAAGGCAAAACGCTCTCCCCGCTGTGCTATCACTCTGGGCCCCCTTCACTTGCTCTCTTGGAACCAACCAGCGGTCAGCAGAGAACAGTAGAACAAAGGCGAGTGGAGGAAAGCCCCAAGGTCAGAGAAAGGACACAACCAGGCACCAGGCGAGTAAAAGATGGGCACTGAGCCGGTGATGGAGCCCAGAGAGGAAATAAAGGCTCCAGCGCTGAGTTTCTGGCTGACCCAGGTGGTTCTGGGGGGCTGTGCTGAGCTGCATGTCCGGCCCCAAGCCCCTCCCCCTACAGCCCCCCAGCACTGAAAGAGGGTCAGCCACACAAGGCTCTGAGTCCCTCCTGAGGTGCTATAAAGGCTCACGGCCTTGGTGCGCGTACTGTAAACTAAACAAGAGCTATGGAAACTGGTAAATATTTTGCCCTTCCGGAGTTCCCACTAGAGATTCCTACCCCAGGTTTATTTCCCTGAAGGAAAGTTTTGAAGCTTTTATTTTTCAGCTTTAAAAAAAAATCTCTGCATTTAAGGAAGGGGTTTCTTCCGAGATTTTTCTTCTTTTCTCTAACAGCGGGCGGGCACAGTCCTACGGAGTCACCCATTGATATATATTCTGTTTTCTGAACCTGGCCAGGTTCCCTTTGTAACGTTTGATGATTTTTTTTCAGTCACTTCATCTTAGCAACTCTTAGTTTAACCAGATCAGTTATTATGCAATCTGGAAGCAATCTTTATGCAATGCAAATGCATATTCCAATGGACAGGGGCAGGAGGTGGGGGGTGGGGGAACGGGACCAGAGGGAAGGAGGCAGAGACAGGCAGAGATCACTGGCTTCCTGCTTATGGGGAAACCTGCCCTCACTTGCTCTCTTGGAACCAGAAAACTCTTTGCAAACTGGAGCTTGTTTCTCTTACTGCTCATGGCGGAATGCCCACGAAGGGCCGGAGAGATGGTTCAACAGGCTGGCACAAGCTTTGCATACGGGGGGCCTGGGTTTCATCGCTGGTGTCATAGGGTCCTCTGGGCACAGTTGGGAGTGACCCCTGAATACAGAGCTGGGAGTGAGTGACCCCTCACACAAAGCTGGGAGTAGCCCTGACCACCAAAGGGTGTATCCCCAAAACAACAACAGCAAGAAAAGAATGCCAAGGAAGGGACTGGAGCAATAGCAAAGCAGGGAGGGCATTTTCCTTGCACATGGCAGACCCAGGTTCGATTCCCAGCATCCCATAGGATCCCCCGAACACCTCTAGGTGTTCCTGATTGCAGAACCAGGATCAACCCCTGAGCATCACCGGGTGTGACCCCAAAAAGAAAAAAAAAGAATACCAGGGAAGAGGATAGAACACAACTCTGCCAGCCTCTGAGACATAAGCAAAAGTGTGGAATGCACACTGGGTGGTTCGAGCCCTGTGGGGACCTGGGACCAGCCACCTCCAGCCCAGTGGGAGTTTGGCCGAGTAAATCAGAGAGAGGAATCTAGGTGCTGCTGACTCACTGGGCAAGTATTCTGCAAAAGGCAGCGACTCCACATCTATGGGTTGGCCTCTGGCCTCAGGCCGGGAGGGCTGTACTTCTGGTCCACAAGGGGAGTAAAAGAGAACAAGGAGATCAAGAGAACAAGAGAACAAGGGCCATCCGAGTAGATGCCCACGCTTAGGCCCAGCCAGCACAAGGAGTCTTGTCAGCCTGTGCCATTCGAACCTGTTTCCTCATCTGCCCAATGGAACATACCATGATGACAGAACTTTGGGGAGAAACCAAAGAAGGGACCCATCTCCGGGCACTCAGTGATAGGATGAAATCGCTCAGTGATAGGATGAAATAGGGCGGGAACTGGGATTGTTGTTTTCATCATTCCCTGGGCTCTGGGTAGCTATACTTACCATGGGCCCTCCACTAATGATTAAACAGACTGATTCTCTCCTTCCCTCCCTCCCTCCCTCCCACTCCCTGTCTCCCTCCCTCTCTACCTCTCCCTCTCCCTCCCTCCCTCCCTCCCTCCCTCCCTCCCTCCCTCCCAATCCCTCTCTCCCTTCCTCTCCCCTTCTTTCTCTCCCTCCCTCCAAATTCCTGTCTCTCTCTCTCCCTCCACCCCCTTTTCTCCCTTTCTTCCTTCCTCCTTCCCTCTTCCCTCCCTCCCTCTCTTCCTCCCTCCTTCCACCTCTCCCTCCCTTCCTCCCTCCCTCCCTCCCTCCCTCCCTCGCTCCCTCTCTCCCTCCTTAGTGAACAAAAGCTCTCCCAGTGATGGTGGAGATACCAGGTCTTCACACAGATCCTAGAACAGTCTCCTTGGCCATAAGCCCAGCATGCTGGCTCCTCCCTCTCCTGCACCCAGAGCACTGCTGCCCGGGGGAGGATAGTCCCCGGAGCACACACATGCCACCCGTACTTACAGCCACCTCTGAGGGCAAGACAGGACTGTCTCCTTCCAAAATTCTCTCAACAACTGGTGAAGGGCTGAAGGACTCAGGGTCCCATGATGTTCAAGCAAATCAGAGTCCCCAAAATAAATAAATTTAAAAATAAAAAGAAAGACTAGCAGAAAGGCAATTTTATCTATGGGAGGAAAGCAAGCCCTCTGGAGTGAGAGCCGGAAATTCTGAGCCCCACTTCCAATGCTACCCCTCAACTGTTTCTCTCCAACAGGCACTTGTCTTGCAAAACTTTCATTTCTCAGAAAAGTCTGTGAGTTGTGTTTTTTTTTTCTTTTTGGGTCACACCCGGCGATGCACAGGGGTTACTCCTGGCTCTGCGCTCAGGAGTCACTCCTGACAGTACTCGGGGGACCCTATGGAATGCTTGGAATCGAACCTGGGTCAACCATGTGCAAGGCAAATGCCCTACCCGCTCTGCTATCACGCAAGCCCCCAAGTCTGTGAGCTTTGATGCAATGAAACCAGGTATCCCAGAGTGATCTGTGGAATCCTAGACAGGAGGAGGCTGTGTGTGTGTCCATGCCCTCGTGCAAAGACACGCATATATTCACTAACCCTCCGCACAGAACATTTCTGTGGTCAAGTACGTTTGAGAAGCGCAAGGTCCCGTATGCATTGCAATGTGCATTAGCATGTGACAGACGCTAAGGAGAGGCAGGAGAAATAGTACCATGGGGGAAGTACTGGCCTTGCAGGCAGCCAACCCGGGTCCAACCCCGCCATCCCAAAAGGTCTATTGAGCACCACTAGGAATGATCCCTGAATGCAGAACCAGAAGGAAGCCCTGAGCACCGCTGGGTGTGGCCTCCACACAAAACCGAAAATGCTAATAAAGAAACCTGTTCAACTTGTTCAGCTAGTGTCCTTCAAACTCTGACTACAGGGACTAAGGAACTGTTAATCCCACAGAACGCACCTTTGAAAATGTCGAGATAATGAATATATAACAGCACAGGGCAAAGTATATGGTCACGATCATGATCACGACCATCCCGTTGTTGTCGATTGCCTCGACCAGGCCCCAGTAACGTCTCCTTCGTCCTAGCCCTGAGATTTCTTAAAAAGTGCCATGTTCAAGGCTCTTTCAGGGTTAGGAGAATGAGACCCATCATTGTTAATGGTATTTGGCATATTGGGTACGCCACAGGGAGTTTGCCAGACTCTGCCATGTGGGCAGGTTACATTTGGTAGCCTGCCATTTTGTCCAAAGTAGAAATGAGATAATAAGATGTCGTGCGGCCGCATTTGTGGCCGCACACTTCTGGGAGCTGGGTTTTATAGTCTCTGGGTCTTGGCCGTTGATGGGATTACACAGCGCCAGGGGGCCAGTTGGTGGGTGTGACCCCTGCCTACTGGAATATGGAGGATCTGGGTGGAGGATGCTCAGCCCCGATCCAAGCAGGCTTGGAGATCTCAGCCCCAGGACCCACATGCCTTTGTTCCTCTGCCGGTACCTTCATGCGTGTGGAGTGTGGTCTCAGCATGGTGGTGGCTAGTTCTGGAGGTCTTCGGCTGCCAGAACCCTGGTCGGGGGGGGGGGGGGTGTGGAGGGAAACTCAACCCGCTCCCCTCCAAGGTGTCCCGGCGAGGACAGCCAGACGCAGGGGCAGGAGACTCTGCACTGTTCTCTTCTGGGAGCTGGGTTTTATAGTCTCTGGGTCTTGGCCGTTGATGGGATTGCACGGCCAAGATATGGTACGTCTTAATAAAGGTAGCACAGCCATAAGAAATCACTCTCCCAAGCCCTGCTGGGTTCTACTCACATAAATGAGATGAAAGTAGTAATAAGTAGTGGGTAAAATGATAATCCAGTAGTGTAGTGCAGTATAATAATGATATTAGTATAGTAGTAGTGTAATAGTATCATAAAAGTAGTTGTATAATAGCACTGTAGCACTGTCCTCCCATTGTTCATTGATTTGCTCGAGCAGGCACCATTAACGTCTCCATTGTGAGACATGTTGTTACAGTTTTTGGCATATCGAATACGTCACGAGTAGCTTGCCAGGCTCTGCCATGCAGGCGGAATACTCTCGGTAGCTTGCCGGGCTCTCCGAGAGGGGCAGAGGAATTGAACCCGGGTGGGCCGCATGCAAGGCAAAGGCCCTACCCGCTATGCTATCGCTCCGGCCCCAGTTGTATAATAGTAGTGATCATAGTACATTAGTACAAGCATCTTCCTATAGCAGTGATGTCATACTAGTAACGGAGTAGTGTGATAAAATTAGTATTGTAGTAGCATAGTGGTGTAGCAATACTAGTTCAATAGTCACTGTCACTGTCACTCTCCTCCCGTTGTTCATCGATTTGCTCGAGCGGATCCAGTAACTTCTCCATTGTGACAATTGTTACTGTGTTTGGCATATCAAATACGTCACGGGGAGCTTGCCAGGCTCTGCCATGCGGGCGAGATACTCTCGGTAGCTTGCCGGGCTCTCCGAGAGGGGCGGAGGAATCGAACTCAGGTCGGCCATGTTGGCTGCTTGCAAGGCAAATGCCCTACCCATTGTGCTATTCCTCCAGCCCAGTTCAATAGTAATAGTGTCATACTTCCACAGCAGTGGTACTCTGGGAGGATGGCAGTAGTAGTGCAGTAGTAACGGCATAACGGAGTGGTGGTGGTGGTTTAAAAGCTATAGTAGTAGTGGTGTGGTAATAGCAGGATAGTGGCGTTGGTTTGAGGGGAGCAACAGTGCCAGTGCAGTCATGGGAAAGTAGCAGGCCGAGTGAGGGTGTTGGTGCTGAGTTAGTAGCAGCTGTTACAGTGGGATTATAGCGAGTATAGTGGCAGTGGTGGCGGTGAGTTAGTGGTAGTTGTTAGAGTGTGGTTATAACAGAGTAGCAGGCAGAGTGTGGGTGGTGGCATGAGTTAGTAGTAGCTGTGAGAGTGTTATTATAGCACAGTAGCAGGTATAGCACCGGCGGTGGTGGCGGTGAGCTAGTAGTGGCTGTTACGGTGTGACTAGAGCACAGTGGTAAGTATAGTAGTGGTGGTGGTGAGTTGGTAGCAGTTGTTCAAGTGTGGTTATAGCACAGCGGCAGGTACAGTGGCGGTGGTGGCGGTGAGTGAGCAGTAGCTGTACTAGTACTGTCACTGCATAGTAACATGCATAGCAAAGGAGTGGACATAGGAGTAGCATACCTGCAGGCACGGCAACTGGTGAGTGAGCGGTCGCTGTCACGGTGTGATTATAGCACAGCTGCAGGTATAGTGGCAGTGGTGGTAGTGAGTTAGTAATAGCTGTTAGAGTGTGATGATAGCCCAACCGCAGGCACGGCGGTAGTGCTGGTGTGTGAATAGTCACTGCATCAGCAGCAGGCACTGTCCCAGCAGTGAGGCTGCAGGAGCTGTGCCTCGGAGCACCCTGGCACAGAGCTCCCATGCGTTGGGTCGCACGGCCCACACGGGACCAGAAGCAGAACCCAGACCAATCAACGCAAAGCCAGGCTGCTGCCCTGCCCCCGACGTCCCCCAGTCGCCCACCTGGTGCCGCGTCCCGTCTTCGCCCACACACTGGCCGCAGGCCTCCTCCGGGACGCAGGTGCCGTCCAGCAGAGCGTGGTGCTCCGGGCAGAAGCATCCTTCAGACGGGTGGTCCGCACACACGCTCGCGTTTGCGTTCCCATCACAGTGCCGGGGACAGCCGCGCTCACAGTGATGGTACACCAGGGATGGCGGGCAGGTCAGGGCTGTGGACAGAGAGGAGGGTCAGTCCTGGCCCACACTGTCACAAGGGGGCCGGGCACTGCTGGGCCAAGGCCGCCCAGCTTCTGGGCAGGCGGGCGCAGGGCAGCTGGTCTCCACTAGGCTTTCTTCGCCTTTCCGCCTGCCGCGAAAAAAGGGCTGCAGGCTGGGCCCAGGAGCTCCAGGAGTGAAGACCACTTCCCAGACGCCCTGGTTACCAGGAGGGGTCATGTGACTAATTCTGGCCAAGAGTAAGTGTAGCCGCTAACAGTCACCTCCTTTGGGAATCTTTTTTATTTATTTTATTTTATTTTGCTTTTTGGGCCACACCTGGAGTGATAGCACAGTGCGTAGGGCATTGCTCGCGGCCAATCCGAGTTCAATTCCTCCGCCCCTCTGGGAGAGCCCAGCAAGCTACCAAGAGTATCTCGCCCGCAGGGCAAAGCCTGACAAGCTACCTGTGATGGATTCCGTATGCCCAAAACAGTAACAAGTCTCACAATTTGTTGTGAGACGTTACTGGTGCCCGCTCAAGCAAATCGATGAACAACTGGAAGACAGGGCTACAGTGATACCCGGCGATGCACAGGGGTTACTCCTGGTTCTGCACTCAGGAATTACTCTTGGCAGTGCTCAGGGGACCCTATGGGATGCTGGGAATCAAACCCAGGTCTGCCGCGTGCAAGGAAAATGCCCTACCGCAGTACTATGGCCCCAGCCCCCTGGGAATCTTTTTTAAAAAGAATGTTATGTGTTTCCTGGGGCCGGAGTGATAGCACAGCAGGTGGGGCATTCATCTTACATGAGGCCAACCTGGATTTGATTCCCAGCATCCCTTAGGGTCCCCCAGCACTGCCAGGAGTGATTCCTAAGTGCAGAGCCAGGAGGAACCACGGAGCATCACCAGGTATGACCCGAAAAGCAAAGCAAAAAAAAGGAGGAGAAAGAGAAGGAGAAGGAGAAGAAGAAAAAGAAGAAGTAGAAGGAGGAGGAGGAGGAGGAGGAGGAGGAGGAGGAGGAGGAGGAGAAGAAGAAGAAGAAGAAGAAGAAGAAGAAGAAGAAGAAGAAGAAGAAGAAGAAGAAGAAGAAGAAGAAGAAGAAGAAGAAGATGATGATGATGATCATGTGTTCCATTCCCTAACTTATCCCACACATACACACACTGACCCAGGCCCCAGAGGCAACTGGGGGGTAGGAGGGAAACTGGGAATATTCATGGAGGGCAGTGGGCATTGGTGAAGGGATTGGTGTTGGAACAATATATGCCTAGCACTCAATCCTAAGTATCCCTGTAACTTTGTAATTCATGGTGATTCCATTTTTTAAAAATACCTTGATAGCCAAACAATTCCATTATTGTTTTTAAATCAGCTAGAGCAATAGAACAGCAGGCAAGACGCTTGCCTTGCACACATCCAACCTGGGTTGAATCCCTAGCATCCTATACAGTCCCCTGAACCCACCAGGACTGATTAATAAGTGCAAAGACAGGAGTAACCCCTGAGCACAGCTGGGGTGTGACCCTAAGACAAAACCAAAAAAACCTTTTAAATAAAAAGAGAGCTATGTAGCTGAAAGGAGACTATAGACCAAACATGATTGCCACCCATTGCCTCTTTTGCAAACCACAACACCCAAGAGGAGAGAGAGAACAAAAGGGAGTGTCCTGCCATAGAGGCAGGGTGGGATGGGGGCGGGGGATGGGGGTTGGGAGGGATACTGGGATACGGGGTGGTGGGAAATGGGCACTGGTGGAGGGATGGGTACTCGATCATTGTATAACTGAAACTCAAGCACAAAAATTTGTAAGTCTACAACTGTACCTCATGGTGTCTCACTAATAAAAATTAAAAAAAAATACAAAGACAGCTATGTAAAAAGGCAGGGAGGTAGAGTAAGAGTACAATGATAGAGCATTTGTCTTGCATGTGGCCAACTCTGGTGCCCCAATGGTTGTTCCTTGAGTCCTGCCAGGAGTAATCCCTGAGCACTACCCAGTTTGGCCCCAAAATGAAAGAGGGTGACAGAGTGACAGAGCTGTGTTTGGCCTTTGCCTCTTTCCCCTGCTTCTCCCATCTTGCCTCCAGGAACCTAAGTGTGATAGCTGAACTCCATCTTCAACCATGAGGACAAGAAAATACCAGAATTGGGGCCGGAGCAATAGCACAGCGGGTAGGGCATTTGCCTTGCACGCAGCTGATCCGGGTTCGATCCCCGGCTTCCCATATGGTCTCCCAAGCACTGCCAGGAGTAATTCCTGAGTACAAAGCCAGGAGGAACCCCTGAGCATTGCTGGGTGTGACCCAAAAAGCAAAAAAAAAAGAAAGAAAGAAAGAAAGAAAGAAAGAAAGAAAGAAAGAAAGAAAGGAAAAGAAGAAAGTACCAGAATCCAGTTTGAGACCCAGAAGGAGTGTCTGGGATCGCCTCCCCTTGCTCTGCAATCTGACAGAGAATTTGATTCTCTGTCCCTTGCCACCAAAGCTCATGCTGACTGACTGCTGGCATGAACCTGTGTGTCTTCAGGCATTCTGTGGCCCTGTCTTTTGAACACAAGTGTATTCAATGCTTTTACATGTCCCCTTAAATTAGGGCTGGAAAGATAGCAAGGAGTTAAGGCACTCGCCTTGTGTGCAGCTGACCCCGAGGTAATCCAAAGGGCACCACAAATGGTCCTTTGAGCACCACCAGCGGTCACCCCTAAACGCAGAGCCAGGGTAGCACCTCAGCACAGCCAAGTATAATCCCCAAAAGAGACTAACACTAAAGAATAGTAGAGATAAGGGCCAGGAGGATTGCTCCATGGCTTGGAAGCCGACCTCACATGCTGGGGGAAAAGGCAGCTGGGATGGAGAAGGGAACACCAAGGAAATGATGCTTGGAGGGTTCACTTGGATGGGAGATGCATGCTGAAAGCAGGCTATGGACTGAACATGATGACCACTTAGTACCCATATTGCAAACCATAAGGAGAAAGAGGGAATGTGCCTGCTGCAGAGGTGGGAGGGAGAGAGGGAGAGGGGGTGGCAAGGAGGGATACTGGGACCATTGGTGGTGGAGAATGGGCAATGTGGAAGGATGGGTACTCGATCATTGTATGACTAAAATGTAATCATGAAAGTTTGTAAATCTGTAACTGTATCTCACAGTGATTCATTATAAAAAATTTTTTTTGATTAAAAAAAAAGTATAATCCGGGGCTGGAGCAATAGCACAGCGGGTAGGGCGTTTGCCTTGCACGCAGCCGACCCGGGTTCGGTTCCCAGCACCCCATAAGGTCCCTGAGCACCGCCAGGGGTAATTCCTGAGTGCAGAACCGGGAGAAACCCCCGTGCATCGCCAGGTGTGACCCAAAAAGAAAAAAAAAGTATAATCCCCAAAAGTAAATAGATAAACAGCAAAACCTCTTCTTAAGTTAAATAAGGCTTCCAACAGCTCCAAAGAGTTGCCTTCAGAGAGAAACTAGCAAGTAGTTCTCTCCCCTGCAACTCTGACCCTGTTTGGGCGTCTCACACGCTCTCACGGAGGCAGGTATTTGGAAATGGCTTCCAAGGACTTAAGAGCACTGACGGTTTCCCAACAAACGCACAATAAGTAGTGCAGAGGACATGGAGCTATGTGACTCACAAGCTGGCCCGTGGGCAGGAGAGGGGACTCGAGAGGCTGGAGAGCCAGCGACCAGCCCTGGGTGAACAGGACAGAAGCAGGCTCAGCATGGAGGATTAGGAAAACAAGGGGCTGGAGGGATAGCACAGCACGTAGGGCGTTTGCCTTGCATGTGGCTGACCCAGGTTCGAGTCCCAGCATCCCATAGCGTCCCCCGAGCACCGCCAGGAGTAATTCCTGAGTGCATGAGTCAGGAATAACCCCTGTGCATCACTGGGGGTGACCCAAAGAGCAAAAAAAAAAAAAATCAAATAAAAAAAAACCAAAATAAGACAGAATTAAGATGAAAAATAAAATTAAGAATGGGGTCAGGAGGACTAAGGGTCTTATAAACTAAGAGCTTTCGCTGCCCTGTACCTTCAATATTTCTTTCTTAGGATCAGGGATCATGAAGGATAAAGTGGGGAGGACATTCTCCAACCAAGTTCCCTGCAGCACTTATTCCTCTCTGGGAGCCCCTGGTCCCATCCCTAGTACTGCCTGGTCCCACCCAGCGAAAGATGGGAAGTAGCCCCCTATTGCAGAGGTGGGGGACCCACAGCAAGTGTGCCGCCTCCCAAAAAAATAAAATCTAAATAAATGAAGTGGACAGGCGCCTCTTGACCTGTAGGTGCCTTCACAGGCTGTGGTTTCATCTACACAGACTCAGGAAAGCCCGGCTCGAAGGAGCTCAGTGTCTGTCTAAGCCCAGCTCTCATCCCAAGATGCAGGCACTCTAGGAGACCAGCCAAGCACACGTTGATTCTGCACCCACTCTGCACTGCATCCTCGTTGGAATTCCCAGGCAACCATCAAATGCCGGAAGTCTGATCCTCACGAACCAGAAAAAGAGTCCAAAATATGTGGGAACTCTTTCCCATTAACAAACAAATAAAATGAAAATCTCAGGGCTGAGATATTCCCCCTGGGTGAAACCGTTTAGGTGTTGGAATACGAAGGTTTGCAAACCAGGAAAAAGCAGAATAGGAAACTGTCGTGCGTTGTTCTTTAAGGTGCCTGGAGGCTGGCTACAGGAATTTCCCCCACTCTGAGCTTCCTGCTACCCTTGGATGCTGTGTACTCACTAACTGTCCTTAATGCCGCTGTCAACTTAAACAGTGACACACGTGTTGAGGGCCTGAGTGGGGGAGGGGGCGACACTGTACTGAATTGATGTCCAGTCTGTGGGCTCACTGAGGGCTTCCTAGGTGACCCTAAATCTTGAACTGTCCATGTGTGATAGCCCCTTCCTCTCTCCTTCTCTCTCTCTCTCTCTCTCTCCTCTCTCTCTTTCTCTCTCTCTCTCTCTCTACCACACCTGCTGGTGCTCCTGGCTTACTCCCAACTCTGTGCTCGGTGGTCACTCCAAATAGGCTTCAGAAACCACTGGAATGCCAGCGGTCAAATCTGGTCAGCTGCATGCAAGGCAAATGCCCTATACACTGTATTATCGCTCCATCTATCTTCCCTTTTTGGGGGGGGGGGGGGTTACACCCGGCGACACATAAGTGTTACTCCTGGCTCTGCACTCAGGAATAACTCCTGGCAGTGCTCTGGGGACTATATGCGATGCTGGGAATCGAACCCGGGTCGGCCGTGTGCAAGGCAAATGCCCTCCCCGCTGTGCTATCGCTCCAGCCCCCCCACCTTCCTTTTCCTATAGCTCTCTTTTTATTTTTTAAAACATTTATTTCTTTTATGAAGTTTTTTTTTAATTGGATCACAGTGAATTACAAAGTGACAAAGATATGCATGCTTGAGTCCCGGGCCTATGTTATGTTCCAACACGATCCCTTTACCAGTGCCCATTGCCCTCCCACTAAGTCCCGTTTCCCTCCCCTGCCCCAGTTTCCATCTCCATTTGTTTGTCTCATGCCTTGGACCAACCTCTTATTGGATGGAGGTAGAAAGTGCCAGCCCAGGGGCTGGAGCAATAGCACAGCACAGAGGGCATTTGCCTTGCACGCAGCCGACCCGGGTTCAATTCCCAGCATCCCCTACAGTCCCTCGAGCACCACCAGGAGTAATTCCTGAATGCATGAGCCAGAAGTAACCCCTGTGCATCACCACATCACAACATTTTTGGTGTGGCCCAAAAAGCAAAAAGAAAAAAGAAAAAAAGTGCCAGCCCAACTGGGCTGGAGTGATAGCACAGCGGGTAGGGCGTTTGCCTTGCACGCAGCCGACCCGGGTTTGATTCCTCCGCCCCTCTCAGAGAGCCTGTCAAGCTCCCCGTGATGTATTCGATATGCCAAAAACAGTAACAACAAGTCTCACAATGGAGATGTTACTGGTGCCCGCTCGAGCAAACTGATGAACAACAGGAGAACAGTGCTACAGTGCCAATCCAACTGGCAAGCAGACATCAAGACTCCGAGAACAGGGTGGCAGTCTGTGACCCGGGGGCTTCCCAGTGCTCCGGGCACCATGGGATGCTACTCACCACAGAAGTCAGGGGTCCGCCAGTCCACGCAGACCCCGCTGGTGCGGCAGAGGTGGGCATAGGAGGCGACGGCCTCGCACACCTGCTCCTCGTGGCAGCTGGCCTGCTGGCAGATGTCGAAGAAGGTGGTGGGAGCGAGGACGGGATGGCACTCAGCGAACAGCGCTGAGAGCAGGACCTGGCAGCGGGCACTGCTGGCCGCGGGGCAGTGCTCCTGGGGCACAGGCTGGCATGTCTGTCCCGGCTGCTGCACTGTCCAGTCCGCGACGAGCCTGTTCCAGTCGGTTGTGACCGTGCCGTCCCTTAGCATGAAGTCACTGGCCCCGTTCTCATCACAGACACCTGGCAGGGAATAAGAAAAAGCACAGTGGGCAGATGGGGGGTGCCGTCGGGTGTGGGAGGTCTGGGGGATTCCCCACTGGCCTGGGTGGCACTCTGACCCAAGGGTCCTGACCCGGCGTGTCGTAGAGCCCAGAGGGGTACCCGGGGTCCCGCGGGGGAGCACAGAACCCGGAGCCTCACCGCAGAGACCGAGCATCTTGGAGGCGAAGGTCTTGGGGCTGAGCTGCAGCTGGAACTCATTGTTATGGGGCGTGAAGGTGAAGATGTGGCCGAGGCGGTTGAATCTGACCTCGTGCATGATGGCGCCATAGATGCCGATCTCCATGTCTCCCCCCACGTAAGGGACGGGGACCACTCTCCCGTTCACCGTCACCTGTCAAGCAACGTGGGTTGTCAGTAGTCAGCGTGATGAGGACGCTCAGAATATCACTCTCCGTCACCCCAGGGATGTGTCATACAACCCCCAGACACTGACCAGGGGCAGTTCCACGGTCAGCCATCACTCCTGATAGCAATGCCAGCCTTCTAAGAATGACAGGCAAGGGGTTGGAGCAATAGCACAGCGGGGAGGGCGTTTGCCTTGCACGTGTCCTACCCGGGTTTGATTCCCAGCATCCCATATGGTCCCCCAAGCACCGCCAGGAGTAATTCCTGAGTGCAGAGCTGAGAGGAACTCCTGAGCGTTGCTGGGTGTGACCCAAAAAGCAAGAAAAAAAAAGAATGATAGGCGAACATCCCATGGTGTACTGGGGACCCCAGGCCCCAGGGCATAAAGTGAACTCCAAGGCGGTCAGTGAACCAGTACAGTGGGTAGGGTGCTTGCCTTGTACGTGGCCAACATGGGTTCAATCCCTGGCACTCCTGTACGGTCCACTGAGTGTGGCCAGTTGTGATCCCTGAGAGCAGAGCCTAGAGCCTAGAACCAAGCATCACCAAGTGTGGCCCCCAAACCAAAAATAACAATAATAATAAATGAAGTGAACTGAGTGGGTATGCACACAGTGGGAGAATAGAGAATCTCTCAGTTCATCAGGGCTGGTGGTGGTGAAGACAGTCCTGGTGATACCCCAAAGCATCAAAGGAAACTATTTTTTAAATCTTTGTAGTTTTTCTGGTCCCCTGAACCACCAGCGAAGGCCCCAGCAGATTCAAGTGAAGATGTATCACACTCCATTCTGGATATTAATGTTGCTGCAAAACATTGTGAAGAAATTATTTTTAAAAACACTTTTGGGCCAGAGCAATAGGACAGTGAGGAGGACATTTGCCTTGCATGTGGTTGACCCGGGTTTGATCCCTGGCATCCCATATGGTCCCCTGAGCACCACCAGGAGTAACTCCTGAGTGCAGAGCCAGAGCAACCCCTGAGCATCAATGGGTGTGACCCCCCAAAAAGGCGGCAAGAAACAAATAAAAGTAAATAAAATTAAAAACACTTTGATTTCCAAGGTTCTCAGCTATGTCTCACTCGTGTAATATATGCCAAGGTCTGACTTTTCCGCAATCACACTGGCTCAGGCTTTGTCACAGATGGGGAGACGGACCAGTCGAGTTGTTTTCCCACAATAAATCAGACAGGATGGACGTGTGATCCAGAAGGTCACCAGGTTTTTTGTTGTTATTTTGGTTCTTACTTTTCCATGTCACCTTTTATAAACATCTCATCAGATGTCAATTTACATGTGCTTTGTTCTTTGAAGGAATTCTGAAGTCCTATATTTCGCTTCAGCCTGGAAAGTTTTCTTAGGCCTTCATCGAGAACCTCAGTACTTGCTCCGAGAGAACTCACGGCCCAGACACTGGGTGAAGAACACCTGCTGGGGGCACTGTCTTGGCTTTGGTGGCCAGACCTGGAGATACTCAGAGCTTACTCCTGGCTCTGCACTCAGAAATTACCCCTGGCAGTGCTCAGGGGGCCCTCAGGGGATCGAACCTGGGTTGGCTGCATGCAAGGAAAACATCCTCCCAGCTGTACAATCACTCCAGCCCCTCCAGTCCCATTTTCCAACCACACCAGACATGGACCTTAAAGCTTCCATGAGATGCTGCAATCTAAAACATACCCTGTGGTCCAGAACCTGACATCAGCTCAGAACCAGAGCAGAGACCCCAGCCTCACAGGCACGCAAGCTCACCCGTGCCCTGTCCCTGGGGCTGCCCACTGGCCCCACAGTGGCGCTCCCCACCTCCAAGTCACTGTGCAGTTCCATCAAGAGGCCCCATGGTGGCCCCATGGTGGCACTCCCCATCTCCATGTTACTGTGCAGTTCCACCCCAGACCCCGCGGTGGCGCCACCCGCCTCCATGTCACTGTGCAGTTCCAACAAGAGTCCCTATGGTGGCACTCCCCATCTCCATATCACTGTGCAGTTCCACCCCAGGCCCCTCAGTGGCACCACCTGCCTTCATGTCACTGTGCAGTTCCATCAAGAGGCCCTGTGGTGGCACTCCCCACCTCCATTTCATTGTGCAGTTCCACCCCAGGCCCCTCAGTGGCACTCCCCATCTTCATGTCACTGTGCAGTTCCACCCCACGCCCCATGGTGGTGCCACCCACCTCCATGTCACTGTGCAGTTCCACCGAGAGGCCATCGTGCTTCAGCTCCAGAGACTTCATGCAGGCCTGCCCCAGCCCAGGGCCGCAGGCTCCATTGTGGAGCACCACCTCCAGGTCCTGCTCCCGGTTTTGGAAGAGAACGTAGGAGCAGCTGCCGGTCAGCTGGAAGTTCTGCCCATCGAAGGTGATGAGGTGCCGCGTGGAGCTCCCACTGCACACACCTGCGGAGGGGACAGAGATCAGGGACACATATGTGTCCACACACACGCACAGCCTCCTCTGTGACCCAGACAGAGACAGAATGGGAGGGCGAGGAAGCTTCCATGACACTTGATAAGGATGGGTTTGCTTGTTTCCCACCTTATTTAAACCCTGTGGTTCACAAAGCTGCTCATGTTGATGTTCTGATCATCCCATTAACCATTTAGTGGTAACAAGAAGCACTGTCTGTAACACCGTCCTCCGGTTGTTCATCGATTTGCTCGAGCGGGCACCAGTAACGTCTCCATCGTGAGACTTGTTGTTACTGTGTTTGGCATATCCAATATGCCACGGGGAGCTTGCCAGGCTCTGCCTTGCGGGCGGGATACTCTCAGTAGCTTGCCGGACTCTCCGAGAGGGATGGAGGAATCGAACCCGGGTTGGCCCTGTGCAAGGCAAACGCCCTACCTGCTGTGCTATTACTTCAGTCCAAGAAATCTAAAATGAATTCTTGTGGGCCTGCTATGGAGACAGGCTCACAGGGTGGTTCGGAAAATAGAGACCGTTGGGAACGCGACTAGAGTGGGGATACTGAGTGCCTCCAGCAAATCATCACAAATGACTTTGACTCCTGCCCAAGAAGACCAGCAGTTGCCGTGAATTCTGTGCCTTTCCCAGAGGAACTTGGGAGCCGAATGTGGCGTCACAACTGCGAAAGAAACAACACAGGAAATGTTTCCACACCAGCAAGAGACTGCCGGTGAGATGGAAGTCCTATAAGCCTGCAAGTACACAAAGAGAAAAGCACAAAGCCAGTCTGTCGAAAGGTGGCTGACCCAAGTCACAACATGCAAATCAACGATGCTTCCAACTACAGTCAAACCAGACACAGAAGGAAATAAAGGCCATTCAATGACTCCAAGAAGAAGCTGGAGCAACAGTAGAGTGGGGAGGGGGTTGGCCTTGCGTGCCGCCTACCAGGGTTCGATTCCCCGGCATCCCATATGGTCCTTGTAATTCCTGGGTGCAGAGCCTGGAGTAACCCCTGAGCATTGCTGGGTGTGGCCCCCAAACAAACAGACAAACAAGACTCAAAAAAAAAAAAAACATCTGCAACACAGAAGAACACCCGGGATGAGAATTTGTAAAGAATTCATGAAGCGGAGAAAAGAAATGTACAAAATCAAGAATAAAAAAAAAATGAAGTTGATTGGACTCAGATTAAAAAAAAAAGTGGAGGAAAAAAGGCAAGATGATATAAAGACTGAAGACTAAATTATAAGAGCCTAAAAGAGAACAGACCAAAATAGAAATGTATTAAGGGGTATTGCTGAGAGCAAGAAAACAACAAAGAGAACGAGTTCATGAAAGGAGTAAAAGGGTCAGAGACAGCAACGAAAATATAAGACAGACCCCAAAAACGGGGTCCTTGAAAAAGAAACCAAAACAATGGAACAGAACTAATATTTAAGGGCTATAACTCATGAAAAAGTTTCTGGAAATCAAAGAACCACATCTACACATTGAAAACATATGTCAGATGTCTGGAAAAATTAACCCAGAGCAGTCAACTCTGAGACATTAGAGCAAACCTATTAGACTTCAAAGATAAAGAAAAATTCCCTAGGTCTCCAGGCAAAAAAAAAAAGATGCATAAGCCAGAGGCAAAGAGTTAGACTGGATTCAGAACTTTCCACTGCACACAAAGTAAGAAAACAAGGCTGGAGCAGCACTTTCCAGAAACTCACAAAAGAAAGTCTCAATCAAGACTTGAATCGAGAATTTTATAACCAGTCAAAGTTCTCTTCTAGAGTATGAATGCTATAGAATAAAATCATTTAGATGTGTAAGGACTTACTTGTGTGTAGCTTAACCTGTGAATCCTTCTTAAGAAATCTCCTAGAACGGTTGGAAAAATAGTTGGGATATTAAGGTGCTTGCCTTGCATGTGTCCTGGGGCCCCACATGGTCCCCTGAACTCTGTCAGGACTGATCCTTGAGCCCAGAGCCAAGAGTAAGCCCTGAGCACTGTCAGATGTGGCTCAAAAACCCTAACTCACAAGACAGAAATCTACTAGGAATAAAGAAATATATGAGAGGTCTGGAGCAATAGCACAGTGGGTAGGGTGTTTGCCTGGCACGAGGCCAACCTGGGTTTGATTCCTCCATCCCTTCTGGAGAGCCCAGCAAGCTCCATCCCGCCCGCCCGCATGGCAGAGCCTGACAAGCTCCCCGTGACGTATTCGATATGCCAAAAACAGTAACAACAAGTCTCACAATGGAGACGTTAGTGGTGCCCGCTACAGCAAATCGATGAACAACGGGAGGACAGTGCTACAGTGACAGTGCTACTCCCATCACAGTGCTCCTATTCCTCTGTGTTTATTTGTAACCTCTTTCTTTGCACTCTGCTCTCCCAACTGGTCGATCATCTTTATCTCCTAATCAGACTGCTAAGTCGTAAATATTGCTTTTCTCTTCTCTTTAAGTCCTTTACATAATTAATTCATAATTAATTCAGAGCAATGTCCTTCTTGTATAGACACAGGAAGACAGTTAATGCTATGCTTTTGTAACTTGGGAGTTAATTGGTTCCGAATAATATTCACTCTTGGGTATCTGTTCTCTCGACTTAAGCCTCAATTGCCCTTACAGACTAGCACTCCAAAAAGCAGGGTCCCGATGAAGGAATGAATGGACCCAGGGCAAGTTGTGAGCTACCCTGGCATCAAAATGGGGCCAGGCCAAAGCGTCATAATATTTAACTATGAGTTAAGAGCATGGTCATGGACAAATTCTGTCATGAGACAAAAAAAGTAACAGCTGGATTAAGGACCTTGCTAGGGTTAGGAAAGATTAATCTGGCTTGAACACTGTAATCTGAGATCTATAGTGAGATGTCCCCAGGAGAGCCGCTCTACAAGCTTAATGAATCTCTTACTGTGTCCATACAAAATAACTAATATTAAGAAGTAAAATCAAGATGTTAATGACGGATGTTAATTAAGTTCTTGGAAAGGAGAAAAACCGCTAGGTGGTATTTTGCCTTTGTGCCTGATATGCAAATAGGAAGGGCTTTGATAGGTTGATTGTCCTACCTCCAATGCTGGGGGAATTGGGGAGAAGTTGGAGAGAAACTACGAGTGGAAAGGGGAGCGTGGAGAGACCAGCGAGGGAGACAGAAGGAGATGGGGATGAGGGGCTTATTGAGACTGGAACAGGCACATGAGGAGAATGGAATAAATGGGAACTGATCATCCCCCTAGCCTGGCTCTCATTTCCTCCCTCATCCGCCCCTGGCATTGGCCATTCTGGGAGGGGAGTGACTCGAGACCACTGAATGCCAGCTGCGAGGGAGAGCCGCCAGGATTCCCTGGTCGTTTGGTAATTACACCAATCTGTGCATTTCTGCAAGCTAGCCATCCCCATGAAACAAGCAGTCTGGCAAAAGCCTCACCCAGTCCGGGGAGAGAACTTGCCCCTAAATAAACAGAAAGTGAGCAATGAGCTACGGTTTTGATGACAGCCCACAACCTGTGTGTGTTTGACATAAAAGAATCCACCCACTGCTCAAAACGATCACAGGCAGGGGACAGAGCTGGCATTGTGGATAGGACACTCGGCATGCATGTGCCTGACCCAGAAGCAACGCCGGGAGTGAGCCCTGAGCTCAGAGCCAGGAGTCAGCCCCAAGCCATGCCAGGTGTAACCCTCTCCCCAACCCCCCCAAAAAACCCTGAAATGATCTTTTTTTTTCTTTTTGGGTCACATCCGGCAGATGCACAGGGGTTACTCCTGGCTCTGCACTCAGGAGTTACTCCTGGCAGTGCTCAGGGGACCCTATGGGGTGCTGGGAATTGAACCCGGGTTGACTGCGTGCAAGATAAACGCCCTCCTCGCTCCAGCCCCAGAACTGAAATGATTTAAAGTGGCCATTTTTTGACTCAGAAAGAAAGGGATAGACATAGAAAGATTGCATTCATCTGGGGAACATAAAGTAACAATATAAGAGACTAACACCCAAGAATGGCCGAGATTAGTACCAGGAATTTTACTCCATGGCTTGGAGGCCAACGACACATGCTAGGGGAAAAGGGAGCTCAGATAGAGAAGGGAGCACCAAATAAAGGTGTTGGGAGGATCCTCCCAGGATGGGAGAAATATGCTGAAAGTAGACTATAGATCGAACATGATTGCCACTCAATGCCTCTTTTGCAAACCACAACACCCAATAAGAGAGAGAGAACAAAAGGGAATGTCCTGCCACAGAGGCAGGGTGGGATGGGGGGGATGGAGGGTGGGAGGGATACTGGGACCCATGGTGGTGGAAAATGGGCACTGGTGGAGGGATGGGTACTTGATCATTGTATAACTGAAACCCAAGCACAAAAACTTGTAAGTCTACAACTGTACCTCATGATGTCTCACTAGTAAAAATTAAAAAAATAAATAAAGTGGCCATATTTCCCCCACCCCAAGGCTGACCCATCCTGATCATCTCCCCCCTCAGGTTAATTTTGATGCAGTCTTCCTCTAAAGGCTTATCACCATGACAATACCCCAACTCAGCCCCGTCCCCGCCCTGCCCAGTTGTAAGCGTGACTGGAGTGTTTTCTGCAGCCCCAACTTCTAAAGGATCTTGTTAGGGGCTGGAGTGATAGCACAGCGGGGAGGGCATTTGCCTTGCACACGGCCCACCCGGGCTTGATTCCCAGCATTTTATATGGTCCCCTGAGCACCGCCATGAGTAATTCCTGAGTGCAGAGCCAGGAGGAACCCCTGAGCATCGCCGGGTGTGACCCAAAAAAGCAAAATTAATTAATTAATTCTGCATCTCTGTTATGAACAACAGGACAACTGTATCTCTGTTACCCTATTGTTCATTGATTGCCTCGAACAGGCCCCAGTAACGTCTCCTTCGTCCTAGCCCTGAGATTTTAGAAAATGACACATTCGAGGCTCTATCAGGGTCAGGAGAATGAGACCCATCATTGTTACTGGTCTTTGGCATATTGAATACGCCACGGGGAGTTTGCCAGACTCTGCCATGCAAGCAAGATACTTTTGGCAGCCTGCCAGGTTCTCCAGAGTAAGAATTAGATAATAAGATGTCGCCTGGCCCCGAATTTGGCCATGCGCTTCCGGGAGCTGAGTTTTATAGTCTCTGGGTCTTGGCCGTTGATGGGATTACACAGTGCCAGGGGCAGTTGGTGGGTGTAATGCCTACATACTCCTGCCTCCACGCCTGGTTGTCCTCACCGGGTCTCCTTGGAGGAGGGCCAGTTGAGTTTCCCTCCCTGCCCCAAGCAGAGCCCCGGCAGCTAAAGATCTCCGGTTCCAGCCACAGCCATGCTTAAGACCATTCTCCACACGTTCAGACAAGCCTCACGCATGAAGGAACCAGCCGAGGAATCCAGGTGTGCGGGACCCGGGGCTTAGATCGCCAATAAATAAATAAATTAATCAATTAATTAAAATAAAGGACCTTGTCAGCTGCCGTGGGAGAACACTGAGCTCAGAAAAAAATTTGTTCTTTCCTCTTGGAATGCATCCTCTCTGGACACAGACCTTTCAGGGATGTGGAGGAGGAGAGGGTCCCGAGGAAGAGGAAGGCACAGCCAGAGACAGCAGGAGGGCATGGGCAGGGGTTCCAGGGGTACAGTGTGAGAGAATGCATCAGGTCCCGCCCTCCCCCGCTCCCCGCCCACCGTGCCCAGCCCTGAGGCAGGACTCACAGGGGCAGGCCCAGCGGCAGCCACAGGTCTCCTCCACCCTGATGGGGGCCTGGCTGTTGGGGCACGAAGGCCGGGGCCCCCGGTCACAGTTGACTCGGTGACTCTGCAGCAAGGTCTGGCCGTCGGGTAGGCAGGTCACCGTGTGGCACTGATCGGGCAGGGTCCAGACGTCTCCAGGCTGCGGGACCAAAGGGGCGGGTCTGAGCAGGGGCACCAAAGTGGGCAGTGCCGCTCCGAGCCCATTGACCAGGCAACCAATGGCCTCGGAGGACGAAGGTGAGACTGAGAGGCCCACTTGGAGGGCCAGGAGAGATGAGATCCACGCAACGGGGATGGACACACGTTCCCAGGTGGGCTTCCCCCTTCCCAAACAAGAGGAAGACCTGGGCCCGGGTCATGGAGACCAGAGGGAACCAGGGCTCCCCAAAGCCCCAGAGATGCTTCCTGATCTTTCTTCCAAAGTTCTCCGGTGACAAACTCACCCTCTTCTCATTCCCGTCTTCATCCACGCAAACGCGAATGAACCCTACGACAGACAAAAAGAAGACCTCAGCCTCCCGCCTCCCACTGCGTCTGGAAATTCTAACTTTTCCACCAATGGTACTTTTATTTTGCTTTTGGGGCCACACCCAGCGATGCTCAGGGGTTCCTCCTGGCTCTGCACTCAGGAATTACTCCTAGCGGTGCTTGGGAGACTATATGGGATAGCTGGGAATCGAACCCAGGTTGGCCGCATGTGCGGTAAATGCCCTCCCCACTGGACCATCACTCCGGCCCCACCAATAATGGCAGGAATCTGATTCAAGGAGCAGAACCCAGGCCCCATATGGGCCAGGCACTGTGCCCTGTGACCCCCTGCGCATAACCTGGCTGGGCCCTGACAGTCCCCGGGCACTGCAACACTTTCAGATGTGACCCCAACAACTGGCAACCCTCACTAAACCCACTTCCCCCGCATCTGTCGGCTACCCCAGGCTGGTCCTTGAACTCAGTGAAGTGCAGAGAAGACTCTAGGGGGTGACCAGGGAGGATGTGGGTGACCCGGCTGAAGACCCTTGGGTTCTCCTGATGAGATGTGCTTGGTGACAAGGGACAGTATGGCAGAGACTGAGGCTCACGACCTCCCCCTCCTCTCTGATTTGTTCCTCAGTGTCTGGTGCTCAGGGCAGGGAGGAAAGAAGATGAGATTCTGGTAATTCAAAAGGGAACAGTGACAATTTCTCCAGGAGAGAAGTCTCCACAGTAGACTCACTGCTCATTCTATTTGGGAAACTGATACAAGGAAGTTTAAATACATATGTTTATAATTATATCATATATGTGTATATCTATCTATATCTCATTAAACATTTTTGTAATCTTAGACTATGAAGTGAAATTATTTTCTTGTTTTGCTTTTTGGGTCACACCTGGTGAGGTACAGGGGTTCCTCCTGGCTCTGCACTCAGGAATTACTCCTGGCGGTGCTTGGGGGATGATATGGGATGCTGGGAATCGATCCCGTGTGCACTACCCGCTGTGATATCGCTCCAGCCCCAAAATTATTTTCATTGTTGATCACATTCCATTACTTGATCTCTAAAGCCCTTTACATCCCCTTGGAGGGTAAGTATGGAACCACAGGTGGGGACAGGAAGTTGCGGGTCCCAGCTTCTATCTTCTGGTTCTGTGATACAGATCCTTCTGCTCAAAGAGGTCAGGGCTTCCTCTGCCCCTGAGCAGTTGGACAGTGGGGCCAGAGGGAGTCTGGGGGAGGCTCACAGGACGCCAGGCCACGAGAAGACACTGATGAGTCCTAAGCTCCATGACAATCAGCGTTCAAGGACACGTGGGGGGAGGGCTCTCTAGCATGGGGGTGTTGGTTTGGGGTTCACAGTGGATAAGAGAGATTTCATAAGACCTACCAGAACACAGTTTGCGGAGGAAGGAACCGCCCGGGGCGGCCACAGCGGGGAGATCTTCAATCCTCTGGACTTGGACCACATTGGAGACAGACTCTGGGCCCACCAAGGTCCTCAACTGGGCTGGGTCATAGCGGTGCCCAACTCCGATAGGGTACACGGTCACTCCTAGAATCGGCAGGGGAAGAGGGAGCGTGTCTGAGTCACGCCGCTTCCTCAGGATGAGCTCAGGGCGGACTGGTCTCTGCCCCGCCGTAAGGAGGGGGACAGTGAGTCCAACGGTAAGGTCTATCAGACCCCACCTAGGAAGTAACGGCTTCTCTAGGAAGTAACGGCTCCTAGAGAGGCATCCGTCCTCAGGGAGCAGACTGCAGGGATCAACTAGTAGTTAAATCAAGTCAAGTTTGTCCCTGGTTCTTTTTTTTTTTTTTTTTTTTTTTTTGCTTTTTGGGTCACACCCGGCGATGCAACAGGGGTTCCTCCTGGCTCATGCACTCAGGAATTACTTCTGGCGGTGCTTGGGGGACCCTATGGGATGCTGGAAATCAAACCCGGATTGGCCACGTGCAAGGCAAATGCCCTACCCACTGTGCTATCACTCCCTGTCTCTGGTTATTTCTGACATAGATTTCTACTTATTAAACCTCAACACAACAAAACGGGCCCAGAGAGCGGGGTACAGAATGCAGTACAGCAGATAGGGCACTTGCCTGACCGGTGGCCGACCCCAGTTCAGTCCCGAGCACCACACTGGGTCCCCCCAAGCACAGCCAGGAGTGACCCCTTAGCACAGAGCCAAGTGTGGCCCCACCAGCCAACACAAATTTAAGAAAACATAATGGGATAGGGGCACGGGAATGCCTAGGATGGGGGCAGGGGCTTCACACAAGGTAGACAGAGACACAACATGAGAACTGAGGGGCCAAGAGACCCCTCGGCATGGGAGGAAGCATAAGGAAGGGTACCATGGAGAGATCTGGGGGCTGAGCAGGCAGGAAGTGGAAGGCAGGACCACGCAAAGCTTCGGGGACTGAGGTTGGAATCTGGGGCGTCCTCGATGAAGGGAAGCCAGGCCAGACTCTGGAACAGAGCAATGGCGAGAGCCAGTTTCCATCTTCAGTCTCTGCCTCCACTGTGCTGCTTCTGAGATGCAAGGACCAAGGTTGGGGGCAGGGGGGTTTCCCCCAGAAAGCAGTGATGGGTCAGGGGTGGGTCAGAGAGATGTACAATGTGCTTGCAGTTCTTGCATGCAGTCAACATGGTATCTATCTGTCCTTGACACCAAGTGTTATGCACACACACACACACGCACGCACGCACGCACGCACGCACGCACGCACGCACGCACACAGAGCATCACCAGGCCGGGTCCAGAGAGCCAGACGAATAGGAAAGCAGGGAGCTGCAGTTCTCCAAATTCTCAGCAGATGGCGTTACAGTCTGATGATGGGGTTACACATGCAACGAAGAGGACGCCCATCCCGGAAGAGGTGGCTGGTTTGGGACCCTGAGATGCTGAATGGACCGATTTGCCCTCCTGGGAGATGGGAAGGTTGCAGGAGGTAGCAGGAGGGTTAGAGAACAGGTACTGCATTATACTGAGCTGCCCTCTGGAACATCTTGGTGAACACAAGAGTCCCCAAGTTGTTAGTGTAGAAATGTGTCCTTGGGCCCCTGACACTGAGGCAGATCCTGTCCCCGCCCCCACTAAGGGGTGAGTGCGAGAAGATAAGAGCCATTGCATGGGCTGGAGTTATAGTACAGCAGGTCAGACACTGGCTCAGGCGCTTGCCTTGCACGCTGGCTGACGCGGGTTCAATCCCCAACATCCCATAGGGTTTCCTGTGCACCGTCAAGGGTAATTCCTAAGTTCAAGGGCAGGAGTAACCCCTGAGCACTGCCTGGTATGGCCCCCAAACCAAAAAATAAAAAGAGAAGCTGTAGCGATAGCTCAAATGGTAGCACACGGCGACGACTTGGGGTCAATCCCCAGCACCTCCCAGGCCCTAGAGGCCCCACAGTCTGATGCCAGTGGGAAGCTAAACCTGAACCCCATCAAGAGTGACACAGTCCCTCCCAGCACCTTAGGGAGAAGAAAAGGGAAGGAGAGAGACGATATCACAGGCCTGGACCCAGAGGCGGTGCATTTACTGGAGATGTGGCTTTGGATGATTGGATGGTCGGACAGTCGTGGAAGGCCTGTGCACAGAGCCCTGAGCTCGATCCCTGGAAGCCCATGCTCCACCCCCAGCCCCATCAGCTGCAGCCCTGGTGCCTCCTGGCCCCTTCCGGCCTCTAGCAGCAATGCCAGGCCTGAGCACTGACCCTGAGCAGCTAGGCCCAGCTGATCAGGGGCGGGGGTGGGTGGGAGGTGGGAGGGAACCTCCAGAGAGACGCTTCAGAGCTGGAACACCCGCTCGGCTTGCATAAGACCCCAAGTTCAATCTCTGGAACTGCAGTGGCACACCCCACCCCACTCATCCACCCCCACCCCCACGGTCATGGTCACAGTCCTCCCATTGTTCATCGATTTGCTCGAGCGGGCCCAGTAATGTCTCCATTGTGAGACTTTGTTGTTACTGTGTTTGGCATATCGAATAACGTCACGGGTAGCTTGCCAGGCTCTGCCGTGCGGGCGAGATACTCTCGGTAGCTTGCTGGGCTCTCCGAGAGTGGCGGAGGAATCGAACTCAGGTGGCCATGTTGGCCACTTATAAGACAAATGCCCTACCACTGTGCTATCGCTCCAGCCCACCGCCACCCCAGGCCCAGGTATATCTCTGGAACCCCCTGAGCACCACTGAGTATAGCCTACTTGGGTCCCCAGGTAACACCAAGCCTGAGGAACAGTATGAACTATCCAGCTTGGCTGGTAAAGTATAGCTGAGAATAGCCCCCGCCCCCCACTGGAGAATCTGCCCCTCCCTGAAGGAAAGGAAGGTACCCCGAGGTATAAAGGAAAACTACAAAGAGATGAAAGGCTATAATCTCAAGCTTGCAGATAAAGATAAGCAGATATGACTGGTTTCCGGAGTGACACATCAATGAGACAACTTCCGGCCATCTGAAACCCAGTCACACAGGAGCCTTTTCAAATCACACAGCAAAGTCACCCTCAACCGCCTTCGGTGTCCCCCAGGGCGAGAGGAGGGTCTCAGGAGCCCACACTTACGATTGGATCTGGCAGCCGAAGCTGCAGAGTCTACCAAATCGGTAGAGACGTCGGTGACCAGGATGACCACGGCCTTGGAGGCAGCAGGCCTGGCTCCGTGGATGTCCGAGGTGAGATACCGCACGGCAAAGCCCAGAGCATCCCCTGCGAACAGAGAAGGAACTGGATCCATCCTGAGAGAGGAAAGCGTGCTCCCGAGACCAGAGGGACGCCCTCTGTCCCAGCGGCACCTGCTGTCACTGAACCTCAGAGGTCACCCAGGGGACACGTGGAAGGGTGTCCAGCCCCACACTTTGCAGAAGAAAGTGCAAGGCAAGGTCACGGGGTCCTTTGTGTCAAGAAGTAGGACCGAGGGCAAGAAAGACATTATAGCGGGTGGGAACCTGACAGTTGAATCAAGTTCAATCCCCCCCCATCAGGAATGAAGCCTGAGCACAGACTCAGGAGTAATCCCTAAGCACCACTGGGTGACGCCCCAAAAAAGAAGAGACAGAACCACTTCCGGGGGCGTGGCTCAAAGGGTTCGAGCACAAGCCTCACTTGTGGGAATCCCTGGTTCCACCCTTGGCACCACAGGGTCCCTGAGAAATGCCCAGTATGCAAACAAAGCCCCTTCCCCAATACCTCCCCCCAAAAAAAAACCCGGAAAGGATGAGACTCAGCCCGGCCCTGCATCCCAACCCACGGCTCCATGTTACCGATCTGGCTGGGGCCTCCCTCCCGCTGCATGAGGTCCACGAGGCTCAGTAAGTGGGTCTTCTCCTGGGCCACCGTCCAGGGCACGTCAATGGTGGTGATGCTGCCGTACTGGAGCACTGACACCTGGGTGAGATGAGGCCCTGGTGGGGAGGGAGAAGGCGGCGTCTCGCTGGGGGTCAGGAGAAACCGCCACCCCCAGCCTCACACCCGCCCCCACCCTGGACTCCCGGCGCCTCCCGCACCGAGGTTGGCTCCTGAGATGAAAGCCTTGGCGAAGCTCTTCATTTGGTCGAAGTAGGAGGCTGGAGAGCCGGAGGAGCCGTCCAGGAGGAGGATCACGTCCAGGGGTTGGCTGCAGTCTGCAAGGGAGCCGCCAGAGGGAGCTCGCGTGGGGCCCTCGGCTGCTGACGGACAGACAGACAGACAGACACACACGCGCACGCGCACGCGCTCACACTCACACTCACACACACACACTCCAGGAGAATCACATCCAGGGGCTGGCTGCAGCCCTGCAAGGGACCCACCAGAGGGAACTTGCATGGGCTGCACACAGACAGACAGACAGACAGACACACACACACACACACTCGCACTCACACACACACCAGGAGGATCATGTCCAGGGGCTGGCTGCAGCCTGCAGTCTGCACACACGCATGCATACATACACACATGCATGCACACATACACACATACATGCACGCACATACATGCACACACATGCACACGCATACACGCACACACATGCACACGCGTGCACGGACACGCATGCACATGTGTGCACGGACACACATGCACATACATGCAGGCACGCACACACATACACACACACGTATGCACACATACATGCATGAACACATACATGAACACACACGTGCACACACATGCACACGCGTACACGCACACACATGCACATGTGTGCGTGGACACACATGCACATACATGCAGGCACTCACACATGCACACACATACACACAAACACACGTATGCACACATACATGCATGAACACATACATGAACACACACGCACACACATGCACACGCGTGCACGGACACACATGCACACGCGTGCACGGACACACATGCACATGTGTGCACGGACACACATGCACATACATGCAGGCACTCACACATGCACACACATACACACAAACACACGTATGCACACATACATGCATGAACACATGCATGAACACACACACGCACACACGGGTGTTGGTGCAGGAGGACACTCGAGGAAGCATTTCCACTGGTCCTAAGCCAGGACAACAGGGCCCAGCAGAGAGAGAAGGGGAAGGTGGAGTTTCTGAGCCCACCAGTCCCCCAGGGTTAGAGGCATTGATTGAGGGGACTCCAGTGCCACCAATGGCAGCTCAGTGACTGTTGACCAAGGGCAGAGACTGCAGCTCTGCTACGAACGAGTCACACCTTGGAGCTGCAAAACAGGAAGACGGGCATGTGAAGAGGTAGATCAGGGGGTAGGGCACTACTGGCTCGCCTTGCATACGGCCAACACTGGTTCAATCCCCAGAACCCTACACGGTCCCCTGAGCACTGCCAGGAGTGATCCTTGAGCATCACCAAATGGGGCCCCCAAAGGAAAAAAAAGTAAGCACCAGGGGCCCAGCTAATATCTGAGCACAGAGTCCCAGTCTCAGGCACAGAACAAAGGTCACTGAGTGTTATCCTCAGTGCCACCGGGGATCAATGCTCTGACAGTTTCTCAGCAGAAACATCAGGAGCAAGTTGATGACGTTGGGCTGAGCGTCAATGACCTGGGGGCTGAGCTAAAAACAGCGACAAAGGCACAGTGGCACCGAGTGAGTTCGAGGACCAGGAGATTAGCAGATCCTGGACAGTCCTAAACTGGCCAATCAAAGATGGCCAATCAAAGATGTCCCTGAGCAAAAAATTATATGTAAGCAGCAGCCAGGGTTGGTGTATCCGGAACCCCTGCTACGTGCTACACGTTAGCTAGAGAACTTGGCAAGGAGGGTCTGTTACTGCATCAATTTACAAATGAGGCAACTGATATACTTCCCCGTCCTTGCCCAAAGTCAGCCCCAAAATCACTACCACCAGCCCTCCCCCCTGCAAAAAAAAAAAAAAAATGTGTCCTAAACTACCCAGCTAGTAGGAGTCAGAGATGAGATTCAAAGAAGTGGAAGTTGAATGCTCTCATCCCCTGACTTCCTGCCCTGGGCCCTAAGGATGTGCCCTCCTTGGAATAAAATTCCCCACTCAGTGCAGTTAAGAGCGCTTATGATGGGGCTGGAGCGACAGCATAGCTGGGAGGGGGGTTGCCTTGCACACGGCATATGGTCCCTCAAGCACCACCAGGAGTAATTCCTGAGTGCAGAGCCAGGAGTAACCCCTGAGCATCACTGGTGTGACCCAAAAAGAAAAAAAAAAGGGGGGAGAGCTGAGAAGGTGTGTAAGGGTGAAACTGACGCCCAGACAGGCGGCAGAAATCAACAAAATCAGGTAGGCCTCAGGTTCAGTTTCTGGAACTGAAACAGATTCAGTTTCCCAGCAATAAAACAATGTGTAACTAGCCAACCTGAACCCACCTGGGAAGTTCCTGGGCCCAATAAAGAGGCTCAATCAATCACTCTGTCTCAGTTAAAATGCCCCAGAAATTATCTTTTGTTAACTGTAAGGAACAGTAGCTTCTGTAACCATAAACTGTTGCTAGAAATTATTGTTTAACTATTGCCTGACCACTGTTACACTAGACACTTGCCAAAACACCTCTGTTTGGTAACTAAGTAAAAAATTTTTTCTGAAACAATGAGGCATGTACTGCTTACTTAATCAAACCCTACATAAACTGCTTGCTGCCTGAAGTCCGGGTCGCTATGAAGCGACCAATCTGTGGGTGAGAGAGTTGACCTCAGTATATTGGAATAAAACTCCTACCGTTTTTGCATTATTGAGTTTGTGTCTCTATTGATCTAGCTGCTTGGGAACCCATAGTCTCGGGCTTAGCAGATGCAGCAGGGAAGGGCTTGCATGTAGCCAGCCCTGGCCCAATCCCAGGCACTGCAAAGCACCTCAGCATGTGACATCCCCCACATCCCCCCCAAAAAAAATCCCAAAAAATGACTCCCTAGGAGACAGTGAGAGGAGGCAGCGATGGCATCACAGTGAAAAAACCAAGCGATAGCACAGCGGGTAGGGCATTTGCCTTGCACACGGCGGACCCAGGTTTGATTCTCAGCATCCCATAGGGTCCCCCAGCACTGCCAGGAGTAATTCCTGAGTGCATAAGCCAGGACTAACCCCTGAGCATTGCCAGATGTGACCCAAAAAGCCAAAAAGAAAAGAAAAGAGGAGAAGAGAAGAAGGAAAAGAAAAGAAAAGAAAAGAAAAGAAAAGAAAAGAAAAGAAAAGAAAAGAATGTGCACTGGACTCTCATCCTCGAAGCAGCTCGGACTTGAAGTCTTCGATCTGCAAGCACACAGTGAGGACACCAGCATCTCCCTGTGTGGGAGGCCCGGGAGGACCCAGGCTGGACAGGCAGCACCCAGCCAGGGCGCCCGGGAGGACCCGGGCTGGACCGGCAGCACCCAGCCAGGAAACCGAGCTCAGGAGTCCCAAGAACCGCCCCCAACCAGTGAACTCCGCCCCCTGCCTCTCCCCCTGCCCCGTCCAGCCCCCACACACCTGGGGCTGGGGCGAGGGTGGGGAGACGCAGCAGCCCGTCCTCCGAGCAGCAGCTCTGCAGCACCAGGTCGGGCGCCTCCCGGGGCAGCGTCTCGAAGTCGTGGATGAGGATGGGCGCGTAGGGCCAGCCCAGGCGCTCCAGCTCCCGCACGTCGGCCTGCGGGCCCACGCCGATGGGCACCAGCTGGATGTCCCCGGGCATGCGCTGGATCTCGTCGGACGCGGGGCTCCCGGTCACCATGTAGACCAGGTTGGGCGCCTGCTGGCGGTCGCCCTCGCCGGCCGAGAAGCTGTGCTCGGACAGGTAGCGCAGGGCCTGGCCGGTGTTGGTCCTGTTGCCGCCCCGGTAGCGGATCTCGCGCACCTGCCGCAGCACGTCCTCCTTGGCCTGGGCCTGGCGGAAGGTGTACTCGGGGGTGACCGCCAGGGCGAACTGCAGCACGGTGACGTGCACGGCGTCCCGGGCCACGTCCATGCGCTCGATGACCTCCTCCACGAACTCCCGGCTCCGGTTGAAGTTGGCCTCCCCGACCTCGTCCGAGCCCTCGAGGACGAACACCACGTCCAGGGCCCTGGGCTGCCTCCGCGCGGGGGCCAGGGTGGGCGGTCCGTGGAGGAGCTCGGGAGCGGCCGTGACTCGGGCGAGGGGCGGCGCCGGCTGGGTGGGCGCGGGCGGCGGGGGCGCCAGGTCGCAGAGGCGCGCGACGATCTCGTCCCTGCGTCGCTCCAGCTCGTCCACGCTGCTCAGCACGAAGGCCTGGTTCTCGGGCGCCTGCTTCTCGATGAGGCGGATCTGCTTGAGGCTGACGTGCGGCCCGATGGCCACGGGGAGGACGACCACCTTCTTCTTCTTCAGGCCCTGCACGTAGCGCACCAGGTTGCGGGCCAGGCGCGGGGGCTCCTGGCTGGCCGTGAGCAGCAGCGCCACGCGCGCGGCGTCCGGCCGGTCCACCTTGCCGAAGATCTGGAAGAGCGTGTACTTGAGCACCTCGCTGATGGAGGCCACCTCGCTGCCCGCGTAGCGCACCTGGCCGGCGATGCGGCGCAGCTCCGACGGCCGCTTGCGGGCGCGCAGGTCCAGGTAGGCGTGGGAGCCGTCGTGGTACTCCACCAGGGCCACGCGGATCCGCTTCTGCGAGATGTGCAGCCGCTCCATGGTGCCCACCACGAAGGCCTTCAGCACCTGGAACTCGGCCTCCGACAGCTTGGAGGAGCCGTCCAGCAGGAAGACCAGGTCCAGCAGCTTGCTGCAGAAGAAGTCGTGCAGGGGCGGCTCGGGGGTGTCCTCCAGGTAGGGGGTGGTGACGCTGGGCGGGCTCTCCGTGGGGGGCACCTCCAGGCCCCCGGGGACTCCGCAGGCTTCACAGGTGAGGTTGACGCCCTCGCAGTGGCTAGAGAGGAGGGGACGGGGGAGGGACAGAGCAGAGAAGGTTCCAGAAGGGCATCCACTAGGCACAGAGCTGCGTGGTTGACACCCCCCCCCCATCCACGAAGCGCTGCCCACCCACGTGACATACGATTCTCTGAGGAAAAGGTGGCCCCCCGGGAGCATCCCGCCTGTGCCTGCCCACGTGTATAAATTCACATGCGTGCACATGTGCTCACACACGTGTACACACATTCACACACATGCTCACTCGCACAAGCATCCACAGCCTAAGGACATCCCTCGATTCTAGAATCAAGGCTTCAGCTGTCCAGAGAGACCCACAACATTTCTGGCATCTAACATGTCCAGAGGGTTGGAGAGATGGTAGCTGAATGGGCTGAGCACAGGCTTTGCTCACGGTGGGGTGGGGGGGGGGGGCCCAGAGTCAAGGCCTGGCATCCCGGGGTCCCCCAAGCACCTTCAGTAGTGACCCCCAAACATAGAGCCAGGAGTAGCTCAAAACCAAAATAATAAACTATCCACTGATTGCTGAAAGCTGGTTTCTTTGATCACTCTGGACAAGAACTGAGTGTTGAAAGCAGGTAAAGGGGAGCCTGGAGAAATGGTACAGAGGGTAGGGCATTTGCCTTGCACACGGCCGACCCGGGTTCAATTCCTAGCATCCCATTTGGTCCCCCGAGTACTTCCAGGAGTAATTCCTGAGTGCAGAGCCAGGAGTAACCCCGGAGCATCGCTGGATGTGACTAAAAAAGCAAAAACAGAAAGAAAGTAGGTAAAGAAATATCCATGATGACCTTCCAGTATCCGTACTGCAAACCATAACTCCAAAAAGAAGAGAGAGAGAGAGAGAGAGAGAGAGAGAGAGAGAGAAACAGAGAGAGAGAGTGAAAAGTGAAAAGTGCCTCCCATAAATGCAGGGAAGGGGGAGAAAACTGGGGACATTGGTGATGGGAAACACACTGGTGAAGGGATGGGTGTTGGAAGAACATTATATGACTGAAACCCAATCATGAACAATTTTGTAATTGTGTACCTCACTGATTCAATAAAAAAATTAATTTTTTTGTAAAAGCTAATTTCCTGTCATCCTACCTCTCCAGTGACATCAGTGCCTTGTTATAACCCGAGCTGGTTCCACCTGTCTGCTCTAAACTGTCGAACAGGATATCAGTGTGATAGTTTAGTGGGGTGATGTGTCTGTCTCACACGCACAAGGCTCCAAGTTTTATCAACAGGACCCAACCGGACTCCTCCAAACACCACCCAGTGGGCCCCAGGGCCCCATCTAAAATAAATAAAATAATAAAATAGTGGGGCTGGAGCAATAGCACAGCGGGGAGGGCATTTGCCTTGCACGCGGCCGACCCGGGTTCGATCCCCGGCATCCCATAGGGTCCCCCGAGTATCGTCAGGAGTGATTCCTGAGTGCAGAGCCAGGAGTAACCCCTGTGCATTCCCAGGTGTGACCCAAAAAGCAAAATAAAATAAAATAGAGAAGATCCAGGCTGTGGCTCCAGAGGAGAGTGTTTGCCTTGCATGTGTCAGACCTTGGGTTTGATCCCAGAAGCCACCAAAAAGATACAATAAATGAAATGAAACACCAATGGCAACTAGGACTTGTAAATGCTCTAGTCAAAGCCCTGAGTGCTTACTCTAATAGATTTTGAGTGGTGTGGATTTATGGCTGCATGTAACATACTGGACTTTAAGGACAAGGGGGAAAGGAACCGCAACATTCTGGAAGGATGAATAAAGATTCGAATCACCAGATTGTTCTAACAAAGCATTCCTCAACCAGAATTACCCCTTGGGGCCCTCAAAATGTTCCAAAGGAGCTAGAGTAAAAACTAGTGGTGGGAATGGCTAAAAGACACATGAGAAAATGCTCGACATCACTAATCATCAGGGAGATGCAGATCAAAACAACAATGAGATATCATTTCACACCACAGAGACTGGCCCACATCCAAAAGAACAAAAACAACCAGTGTTGGCGCGGATGTGGGGAGAAAGGGACCCTCCTTCACTGCTGGTGGAAATGCCGATTGGTTCAACCCTTTTGGAAAGCAGTATGGACGACTCTCACAAAATTAGAAATTGAGCTCCCATTTGATCCAGTAATACCACTCCTGGGAATATATCCCAGAGAGGCAAAAAAAGTATAGTAGAAATGACATCTGCACTTGTGTGTTCATTGCTGCACACAATAGCCAAAATCTAGAAAAACCCCGAGTGCCCAAGAACAGATGACTGGTTAAAGAAACGTTGGTACATCTACACAATGGAATACTATGCAGCTATTAGAAAAGATAAAGTCATGAAATTTGCATTTAAGTGGATCAACATGGAGAGTATCATGTTAAGTGAAATGAGTCAGAAAGAGAGGGACAGAAATAGAAATACTGCACTCATCTGTGGAATATAAAGTAACAGAATGGGAGACTAACACCCTAGAACAGTAGAGATAAGGACTAAGAGGTCTGCTCTACGCCTTGGAAACCGGCCTCACATAAAAGGGGGAAAAGGCAGCTCAGATAGAGAAGGGAACATCAAGTAAAGGATGGTGGGAGGACCCATTCGGGTTGAAAGATGCATGCCAAAGTAGACTATAGACCAAACACAATGGCCGCTCAATACCTCTACTGCAAACCACAACACCCAAAAGGAGAGAGAGAATAAAAGGGAATGCTCTGCTACTGAGGTAGAGTGGGGTGGTGGGGGATGGGGTGGTGGTGGTGGGAGGGATGCTGGGAACATTGGTGGGGGAGAATGGGCACTGGTGGAGGGATGGGTAAATGATCATTGTATGACTGTAATGCAAAAACAAAAGTTCGTAAGTCTGTAACTGTACCTCACAGTGATTCACTAATAAAAAAAATGAATAAAGTTTTAGCTAGAAAAAATTGGTGGGGGGGGGACTGGAGCAATAGCACAGCAGGTAGGGCATTTGCCTTGCATGTGGCCGACCCAGGTTCAATCCCCAGCATACCTTAGGGTCCCCCGAGCACCGCCAGGAATAATTTCTGAGTGCATGAGCCAGGAGTAGCCCCTGTGCATCACCGGGTGTGATGCAAAAAAAAAATTGGTGAGGGACCACAGCATGAGATGGGGGGTCAACTGGTAGGAGAAGGGCAAGGGGTCGGGCCCCAGGAAGGAAACAGGGGCAGAGGTTTCTATGGTGGGTAAGGGGCTAAGAAATGTGGGATTAGCAGAACAGAAGCACTTAACCACTGGATGGGGGTCATGGCGGGGAAAGGCAGTGTGTGGGCGCCTCATTCATCCAGTCCCTAGACACGTGATGGGCACAGAACCCGTGCACAGCCCTGGCCTGGGCCACACACCCATGTGTGCCAGTGCTGCTTCCTTGGTCCCATCCCAGGCCCCCACCCCCCTCCCACCAGGTCAGGCTGAATTCCAGCCCCCTCTGATCATCTCCCTCTTCCCAGGCTCTGTCAGTGGCCAGGCAGGCCAGATCTCAGCGGTGAGACTCACGCTGCCCTGAACCTCCTCTGTCTACCCTGGGCCATGGACGCTACTCGCCCTCAGCATGCCACTACCTGGGGCAAAGAATTCCCAGGACCCTGAGCTAAGAGTACCCCGTGGATGTGAGACTTGTGTCCCAGGAAATGATGCAGGCACTTCTGCCAAGCCTGGTTGGAAGCCATCGAGGGGGCAAAGTACCCCAGGGTAGGGAGTAGGCAGGAGACTCAGTCTGCTCTGGGACAGGGTGCCAGAGGTGGGACTCAAGCCCTGCGGTCCTCAAGCTCTCTTGCCCCTGCTCCTATCCCTCCCTACACACACACACACACACACACACACACACACACACACATACACCGGCCATTCTGAAGAAACAGTTCCTGGAGACGCCATCCCCTCTGTCCCCAAAGAGGGAAGAGCTCTAGAAAGGAGCAAAACAAACACACGAGTCATCCGTGAACAAAGTCAGGGTGTCTCTCCCAGAAACAACATGCCAACATGTCAGGGCAGCCCCCAAAGAAGAAACGAATGTCGTCACTTCCAACAACCAGGAAAAGGCCCCAGGGAGACCGTGTGTATGTTGGGTTTTGGACCACACCCGGAAGTGCTCAGAAAGGCAGAACCTTTGCCTTGCAGTGGGAAGCCTTGGGTTTAACCCTCAACACTGAAAAGAGAAATTTTTAAGAGGGGTCTGAGTGATAGGGCTGGGGGTAACCCACTGTACCCCAGGACTGCCAGGTCCCAGGAACATTGGGCTTCTGTGCCAAACTACCAGCCAAGTGGGTTGAGCATCACTGGAAGGCGCCCTGAGACCCCTGAACACCAATATGGAGGCCCCAAAATAAAGAAAAAATAGATAATAAAATAGGGGCAGTGAGATAGTACAGTGGGGAGGGCACTTGCTTGGCATGCGGCTGACCTAGGTTCAATCCCCAGAACCCCAAACAGTCCCCCGAATATCGCCAGCAGTGATCCCTGAGCACAGATCCAAGGATAAGCCTCAGGATGTGATCTGGATGTGAACAACCCCTTCCCCCATACACTCACCCCCAAAAAGAATTAAATGTAAAACAACCAAGATGGGTGCAGGTGTCTTACCAAATCTGGCACTGCTGCGGGTCATCAGGGTTCAGCGTGATTCTCTTCCCTGGGGCTAAGCGCCGGCCGGCCACCTCACACACCGGACAGTCCTCAGGGCTCACACAGGTCTGCAGGAGCTCATCCAGGACCTTCCCTGCAGACAGACCCTGTCAGGAGCCACCACCACCCCAAGGAAGGCCAGCTGCGGCCTCCAAAGCCAGCCCTGCTCCTACTGGCTCTTCCACCAATCCCAGGGCCCAGGGAAGCTTTCCTCCAAAGGGCCCTTTTGCTCATGGAGAAAAACGTATGAAGCAACTGAATCTGGCTCACTGTCGCCGGAGACACCCCCTCTCTACGCCCTGCATGGTATAAATTCCGGAGCTCAATATAAATTCCTGAGCAGGAGATAAAGTGGGAAAAAAAATCACACAAGCCAGCATCTACAGGAGGGTCTCACTAGGGCAAGAAGTTCGAGCGGCACATTGCATGTGTGTGTGTGTGTGTGTGTGTGTATGTATGTGCATGTGTGTGTGCATGTGTGGGTACATGCGTGCGTGTGTATATGTGCATCTGTGCATGTGTGTGTGTGCATGTGTGTGCATCTGTGTGTACATGCGTGCATGTGTGGTGTGTACGTGCATGTGCACGTGTGTGTGCATGTGTGCATGTGTATGTGTGCATGTGTGTCTACATGTGTATATGCCTGAGTGTGTGTGTGTGCGCATGTGTGTGTATGCATGTGGGTGTGTGCGTGTATCTGTGTGCATGTGTGTATATGTGTGTGCGTGTGTGTGTGTTTTGCGTTTTAGAACACACTCAGGAGTGCTCAGGACTTACTCTTACTCCTAAGCTCTGTGCTCAGGGATCACTCACGGAGGGGTACGAGGGACTATATAGGATACTAGGGATCAAACCTGGGCCGCCATCTGCAAGGCAAGCACCCTACCCTGGTATTAGATTTCCAGCCAGCACTTAAACTTCTACCACTAATGATTCTTCCTGAGAAATGTGTGCATGCCTTTGAGCATGGGAGATGGGGGATACAGCCAAGACAGGCACAACAAATATTGATGAGAAGCCGTAGAGAAATGTATTTCATTGTTTGGAGGGGGTGTAATCACAGTGTTCAGGGGGCATTTCTTGCATGCAAAGCAAGCACCTTAACTCCTGTATTATCTTTCCTGCCTCCAAAATTCTTTTTTTTTTCTTTTTGCTTTTTGGGTCACACCCAGCGATGCACAGGAATTACTCCTGGTTCATGCACTCAGGAATTACTTCTGGAGGTGCTTGGGGGACCATATGGGATGCTGGGAATCGAACCCGGGTTGGCCGCGTGCAAGGCAAACGCCCTACCCGCTGTGCTAATGCTCCAGCCCCCAAAATTCATTTTAAAACAAGTTTTTTAAGTCATGTGACCCCATCTGGGATTATCAAACGTAAGGGGTTATGTTGTAGAGCAGGAATGGGGCAATCTTTGCACTGCTAAGGACCAGTTGAATATTTAAAAAATCATGGAGTCAGACAGAGAGTACAGCTGATAGGGCACATGGCTGACGTCGAGTTTGATCCCCAGCATCCCATGTAATCCCCGGAGCACCACCAGGAGTGAGTCTTGAGTGCAGAGCCGGGAGTCCACCCTGAGTACCACGAGGTGTGGTCCCCAAACAAAACAAACAAACACACACACAAGTCACATGCAGGCCACACGATGCAGGCTGACAGGCACGGGCAGCCAATGGGAAGCCCGCACGCCTGCTCCATCCCATACCCCGGCCAGGTCACAAGACTTCAGGGACCTTCCACCGCCTAGCGGGCCCACATTCCTCCCCTCTGGTCTGACCATCAGCTCACAAATGGACAGAGAGGAGGGTTCTATGTGGAAGCACAATGGGACAAAAGTCCTAAGAGGCCGAGTTTCAAGAACAAACACAGGGGAGAAGTCCGGGGGCTCAAGGCTGAGTCAGTGCATGCAGGAGGGATGCCCACCTGGTCCCCACTTACCTGGAGGACAGTGGGCGTGGCAGCCCTCCACACACTGCACGGGGCACACCAGAGGCTCGGGGTGTTGGCAGGTGACGGGGCAGGCAGGGCCACAGCTGTCGTAACGCCACTCACACTCATAGCCGCTCTCCCGGTGGTTCCGCTCCTCGCAGCTCTGGGCTGTGTAGACAGAGACACAGGCTAGGCTGCAAGCCGCAGCATCTCCAGGGCCACCCTGGGGCCCAAGCCCGGACCAAACCCTCCTACAGATGGTGGCAGGGGCCAGAGCGATAGCACAGCGGGTAGGGAGTTTGCCTTGTACGCAGCCAACCCAGGTACTATCCCTGGCATCCCATATGGTCCCCTGAGCGCTGCCAGGAGTAATTTCTGAGTGCTGAGCCAGGAGTAACCCCTGTGCATCCACCAGGTGTGACCCAAGTCACTGTCTTCCCATTGTTCATCGATTTGCTCGAGTGGGCCCAGTAACGTCTTCATTGGAGACTTTGTTGTTACTGTGTTTGGCATATTGAATACATCAAGGGTAGCTTGCCAGGCTCTGCTGTGCAGGCGAGATACTCTCAGTAGCTTGCCGGGCTCTGCGAGAGGGGTGGAGGAATTGAACTCGGGTCAGCCATGTTGGCTGCGTGCAAGGCAAACGCCCTACCGCTGTGCTATCACTCCAGCCCCCCCGCCCCCCACGTTTTTTTGCCTTGCACGTGGCCCACACCATGGACCGGAGTTCGATTCCTCTGTCCCTCTCAGAGAGCCCGGCAAGCTACCGAGAGAGTATCTCACCCGCCTGGCAAGCTACCTGTGACGTATTTGCCTGGCAAGCTACCTGTGACATATTTCGATACGCCAAACACAGTAACAACAAGTCTCACGATGGAGACGTTACTGGGCCTGCTCGTGACCCAAATAGCAAAAAAAAAAAAAAAAAAAAGAGAGAGAGAGAGAAAAAAAAAGAAAAGAAATCAGTGTCATAATGTAATAGATGGGGATATTTCTGAATGGAGCAGGATGCCACACCCAGCAGTGCTCAGGGGCTGTCACCATGGTCAGCTGTGACCCCCGTGGTGGTAGGTAGGAATCAACTGAAGTCGGCCACATACAAGGAAAATGCCTTAGCCTGTGTGCTCTCTCCCCAACCAGATTTCAGGGGCTTTTTGTTTGCTTGCTTACTTGCTTGCTTTTTTTAAGCACAAAATCCACCAATCGGCCGGAGCCATAGTACCACAGGGAGGGCGATTGCCTATAGCAGGCAGCTGACCCAGGTTCTATCCCCGATACCTCGTGGGGTCCCCTGAGCACTGCCACGAGTGATTCCTGAGTGCAGAGCCAGGAGTAAGCCCTGAGCACTGCACAGGGTGTGGCCTTCCCCAAAACAAAACAGAATCACTTGACAAGGTGATAATGATGCAGGTGCCCAGTTTAAAAGCAGGAGGAAAGACTGTTCATGTGGGTATGAGCTGGTCCCTCTACACATCCTCCTTAGGATGATGGGGTCAGAGTATTTCTTGCATGCAAAGCAAGACCTCCTCCATGTCTTCACTGTACCTGCTTCTCCCCAGCTTTTGTTCAGGGTGGTCGCCAGCCACCCAGATCTTAGGTCCCTGCCCGACACCCTGTCCCCTCACACACCTGGCCCTCTGCAGCCCTCAGCCAGCCCCATATGTGTGTGACACTCAGTGTGTTCCCTGAGTCCCCCTGGTCTCCACCAGCCCAGAAGACCCTTTCCCTGGGGATGGGGGCATCTGGAACCATCCCCCGCAGGGCCCTCAGGACTCACGACACAAGGTGGCCGTCCTCCAGGTCACCACCTGGCCATGCTGGGCACACAGGTGGGCGTAGGCAGCCACGGCATCACAGAAGCAGGCACAGTCCCCAACAGACTCACAGGAGCAGCTGTCGTAGATGCAGACATCCAGGAAAGGTTCAGGGTCCACCTGCAAGGGTGCCCCGAGGTTGACTCAAGATTCTGGAACCCCCAGGAGCTCAGGGCCTGAGGAAGGTACCGGGGGGGCCAGAGCAGAAGACGGGATGGCGGGAGAGAATACATGTTGGTGGGGAGTCCAAAGGGGGGGGTCCTTGCACACAACTGTCCTGGCTTCCGACCCCAGCACCCCAAAGGGGTCCCCACACGCCTTGAGGAGTGACCCCTGAGTGCAGAGCCAGGAATAAACCCCAAGCACTGCCAGGTGTAACCCCCAAGCAAGCAAAAGGAGCCCAACCGAGCAACAGCATCTACCAGTATCACAGAAGATGGAGAATTTCCCCAAAGAACATTTCCTTCATCTGCCTTTCCATTCAGCCCTCAGTCAGCCGTCCATTCCCCCAGCTGCATGGGAGCGTGTGTCCATGAACATACACACACACTCACACATGCACACTCACATACACACACATATACAGACTCACTAGCACACATAAACATATACACACACATACACAATCACACATGGACATGCACACATGTACACACACATACACATATGCACTCACATGTACAAACACTCAACATATGCACTCACATGTACAAACACTCAACATATGCACTCACATGTACAAACACTCAACATATGCACTCACATGTACAAACACTCAACATATGCACTCACATGTACAAACACTCAACATACACACAAATACACACTCACACCTACCCACACTCACACAAATACACACACTTACACACACGTACACGCATACTCACATGTACAAACACACATACACACTCACATACACACATATTCAGACACTCACACACACTAACACACACATAAACATAGACACACACTCACACATACACACACTCACACAAGGACATGTACACACTTGCACACACACTTATATGTACAAACACTCATACATACACACGCTCACACATATATACATATACCTACCCACACTCACACATATATACGTGCACTCACATGTACAAACATACACGCATACACACTCACACGTATACAAACACTCATACCTACCCACACTCACACATACACACGTGCACTCACATACACAAACATACACGCATACACACACTCACACATATACACACACTCATACCTACCCACACTCACACATACACATATGCACTCACATGTACAAACATACACACACTCATACATACACACATGCACTCACATGTACAAACACACACTCACACATACACACACCTACCCACACACTCACAAATACACTCACACACGCACATACTCACACATGTGATCTCTCTCCTGCCTTGGGTTAGCAAGCAAAATGGGGAAACACACAGGTCCCCCCTCGCCCAACTGCATGAGGGGGCAAGGGGCCAGGAAGCCAGTGGGAGCACAGCCTACGACTCCCCGACTCCTCCCACCTTCACGGCCAACCCAGACGCCCAGCATGACACCAGATGGATGAAAAGGTGTGTGGGGAAGCAGGTATCTGCCGTTCGGCCCACACGAGCGGTGAGCAGAGACTTACCTGTGGGCACGGCGTGTCCACACACCCGCACACATGTGCACGCATGTCTACAAACCCTCAGGAGCAGAGACAGAGGAAAAGGGACACTTAGCCTGGGAGATTCTTATCACTGTTTGACACAAAGACCAGGAATCCTGGAAGGAGGGTCCAAGCCCACTGGAATTAAAGCCAGAGGTGAGTTTCTCAGAGCCAGGAGCCAAGAGCAAGGGGTTTGGGATAGGAAAGGGATGGGGGTCCCAGGAGACAGCAGGTAACAGAAGACAGAGCCCCTGGCTCTCGCAGTGAAGATGAAACCGCATGTGGGGCATCAAGCCCCTCGACTCAAGAGTTTGTGGCTAGCCAGGGATGAGGTCCAGTGATGGAGGGTGGGCTGGGGACGTGACTCAGTGGTGAGGGTACGATGGGGACGCATGGGAATTGGCTCAGAGACGGAGCACACACCTTGCAAGCTTAGGGTCCTGGGTTCGAGCTTTGGTACTGAAATTGAAAGCCCCTGAAATTAGGTAACCTCAGAATCTTTCAGTATCTGCATTGCAAACCATAATTTGCAAAGCATAAGGCCCAAAAGAAAGAGAGAGAGAGAAAGAGAGAGAGAGAGAGAGAGAGAAGAAAAGTGCCTGCCATTGGTGGACAGGGGGGAAACTGAGGACACTGGTGGTGGAAATGGAAATGCACACTGCTGAAGGGATGAGTGTTGGAACTTTGTATGAGTGAAACCCCACCATGAACAGCTTTGTAACTGTGTATCTCACAGTAACTCAAATTAAAAAGTAAACAAATTGGTGATGGAGTACAGCAGGTAGGGCATTTGCCTTGCATGCTGCTGACCCGGGTTCGATTCCCAGCATCCCATATAGTCCCCCAAGTACCGCCAGGAGTGATTCCTGAGTTCAGAGCCAGGAGGAACCCCTGTGCATCACCAGGTGTGATCCAAAAATAGAGCAAAATAAAATTAAAGGTAAAGGTAAAGGCCCTCCCGTTGTTCGTCAATTTGCTCGAGCGGGCCCAGTAATATCTCCATTGGAGACTTTGTTGTTACTGTGTCTGGCATATCGAATACGTCACGGGGAGCTTGCCAGGCTCTGCCATGCGGGAGAGATACTCTCGGTAGCTTGCCGGGGTCTCTAAATATTTTAAAAAGTAAATAAATAAATTTTTATAAATAAATTTTTTAAAAACGGAAACCCTTGTAAAGGCCAGCGACAGCTCCAGGGGCTGACCAATGCAGGAAGAATGTGTTGATTCTTGAGGCAGCATGGCGGTGCCCCCCAGAATCGCTTGGTGGCCCTCCAAGGGCTCGGGAGACACACTTGTCTAGTACCAGGAGCTGAGGGCCAGTCGCACATACAGGTTCCTCTCCAGACTCACCGTCTCTACCCCCTGAGACTGGGAGCACTGCAGATCACAGCACATCACAGCCAAGGTCACGACCACAGGGAGAAGCTGCTGCCCAATGCCCATGCCCCTGGGCTGACCCTGGGCACCTGCGACAACCCACCCACCCCGCCCACCCTGGGCCTCACCAGCTTATTGCACTCTCGGAAGATGTCGCTGGTGAGGATCCTGCAGGATGAGTCCACCATCGTCTGCTTCAGGAGGTTGTCACGGCAGGTGGCGGGAGCCATGTCCAGGGGCACCTGTGGAGGAGGAAGAGGAGGAGGAGGAGGAAGAGGAGGAGGAGGTGGTGGTGGAGGAGGAGGAGGAGGAGGAGCCCCGTGTACCCAGGAGATGGTGGGATGCATGGGGGTGCCCACCGGAAGCCACCCCCCTCAGGCTCCAGCCGCACCTACCTTCCTGGTGTCGGCGCACTGGGGGTTCACCTTCCAGGAGTTGCCGAAGTCCACGGGGTTCTCCTCCACCTGCAGGCTGCTGCTGGTGAAGTCGTTGTTCTGGACACCATCGAAGTTCCCACACAGTCCACACACCCGCTCCTGCCAGGGAAGTTGGCAGCGTGTAGACAGCACGTCGCGGCCAAACCCTCTGACTGTGTGACCCTGACACATCATGGCCAGCCCCCTCTCACTGCGTGGCTCTGGCATGATAGGGTCGAGCATCCTCTAACACAGGTAGCTGCAGAGGGGCATTGCTGAGGGAGAGTAGGAGGGGCAGGGGAGGGCGGGGGGAGACCCCAGGGCCAGGGCCGATGAGCCTCTCTCTGGGCTTCCTCACTGAACCCATTTTCCCTGCCCAGAGCAGACCACGGACACAAGACTGAGCAGGGAACAAGGGATGAAGATGCACAGATTAGAGAGAGAGAGAGAGAGAGAGAGAGAGAGGCAGAACGGGCAGATGCCAGGAAGCAGACGCCCTAAAAGTCAGGCTGGCCAGGCTCCGGGTCCCTCTGGCTCTGCCTTCCGGAAACATCCCTTGAGATAAACCCACTATGTCCCATCTGTCCCAAGGTGCAGAGATCCTCGGGTGTAGAAGCTTCGCCTGTTCAATTAGCACAGACAGGCGACTGTCTGGAGATTGTCCCCTTGTTCCTGCAATGGCTGTTGGTTTAAAGTAATAAATATGCAATGGAAAGGATAGTCAGGGGTCAGAGTGTCGTAAGGCTATGAGACCCCTGACCCCACATTTTTATTTTTTTCCTCTTAACTGTGTCTATTTCTTTTGTTTGTTGGTTGGTTGGTTTTTTTTTTTTTTTTTTGCTTTTATGGGTCACACCCCGCAATGCACAGTGGTTCCTCCTGGCTCTGCACTCAGGAGTTACTCCTGGCGGTGCTCAGGGGACCATATGGGAAGCTGGGGATCGAACTCGGGTCGGCCACGTGCAAGGCAAATGCCCTACCCATTGTGCTATCGCTCCAGCCCACTGTGTCTATTTCTTAATCCTCCTCAGCATCCCTGCTTCAACCCTGTTCACCTGGAACTGGTCCCAGCACCCCAGGATAAACCATGTCCCTCCCAGGAAGGGTCTGGTGTCTGTTCCAGGGATGTTCAGGAGAGGGCTGAGAAAGGACAGGCCCTGTATCCCCATGTCAGCAGGCGAGGCGGGGGCAACTTCCTGCTGGTGACAATATTGGAGAAAACCCAAAGGGTCCCAGGAGGAGGCTGGAGAAACAGAACAGGGGTAAGGTGCTTTCCGGGCATGTGGCCAGCCTGGGTTCACTCGATCCACGACCCTCGAGGTCCCCCAAGCACCGACAGGAGTGATCCCTGAGCACAGAGCCAGGAGCAAGCCCTGAGCATCTCCACGAATGATCTCTGAGCACAGAGCCAGGAGTAACACTCCAGTCCAGCCAGGGGTGACCCCCCCCGCAAAATGACGAAAGTCAGAGAGGAAGCAGAGAAGGCCACGGACCTGGTACGTCTGTTTCAGGGCCACAGAGATGCCCAGGTGATGGTCCCAGAGCACGGAGAGGGCCGGGCCCAGCAGCAGGATGATGTAGCGACCGGACTCCACCACATCGAAATGCGTCTCATCCTTCAGAGGCCTCTTCACGGTCACCTGCAGGGGGGCAGTGCAGGAGTGCAGGGGTGAATCGGGCTGGCTTCAGTGTCCAGCACCTCACTCTGTCCTCCCACATCACCTGCCCCTTTGGGTCAGGCCAGCCCCATTCAGGGACGTGTGTCACCTGTCCCCACTCATCCCGGGGTTCAGGGAGGAGGTGACAACAGCACCATTGGGAGATTCAAAGTTCAACTCATGGGGCCTGAGCCATAGCACAGTGGGTGGGGCGTTTGCCTTGCACGTGGCCAATGCGGGTTCAATCCCCAACATCCCATATGGTCCCCTGAGCACCGCCAGGAGTCATTCCTGAGTACAGAGCCAGGAGGAACCCCTGAGTATCGCCGGGTGTGACCCTCTCCCCCACAAAAAAAAAAGTTCAATTACCGAATTGTCCCTCACTTTGCAAAAAAAAAAAAGTCATTTTGGGGGCTACTTGAGTGCTTAATATTTGTGATCCCCTAAAGAGATTGTCAACATGATTTAAAGTAACAGTGTTCAACTGATTTAAAAATCTATGTTGGGGGGTGGGGCTGGAATAATAGCACAGTGGGTAGAGCATTTGCCTTGCACATGGCCAACCCGGGTTCGATTCCCAGCATCCCACAGGGTCCCCGAGCACTTCCAGGAGTAATTCCTGAGTGCAGAGCCAGGAGGAACCCCTGAGCATTGCTGGTGTGACCCAAAAAGCAAAATAATAATAATAATAATAATAATAATAATAATAATATCATGGTCCTATTGTTCATCGATTTGCTCGAGTGGGCCCAGTAACGTCTCCGTCATGAGACTTGTTGTTACTGTAACAACAATAATAATAATAAAATATATGCTTGGGCCAGAAGTTAGCTCAAGTCTGCTCCATGGCACGACATGGTCCCCCCAGCATTAAGGGGACAGCCCTGCAGGTCCCCAATGGGCCTGGGCAATCCTGAGCACTGCAAGGCCCGAGCAGTACCACATCCCCAGGCCCTGCAGGGAACCGCTGGCCAGACTGGCCAAGAATCCTTCTCAGGGTCCCTCCTGGGCACAGCCCCTGAGCACAGCTGAGTGTGAAGTAAAACAAACCAAAAATAAAATATACATAAAAATCCAGCCCCGGGCCCAGGAAGGTGGCTCTGAGGTGGAGCATATGGGCAGTCGTGGGTTCCATCCCTGTCACCCTCCAAATAGAAGAAATTGAGACGGCCTGGGCTAGAGAGACAGTCCAGCGGGGAAGGCGTGTGCACAGCATCTATCCCCAGATTTCACTGCACAGTACACAGAGGGGTGCTCCAGCACCAGCAGGTGCAGTTCCTGAGCACAGAGTTAAGAGTAAGCCTGAGCATCACTGGGTATGGCTCAAAACCAAATGTAAGAAGGCCCCTTTACAGGAACAAAAGCAACACTGCCTCCTATTCTTCCGGCCCCCACTCCCCAGTCCACTATACCGAAGGGCTCCCTCTGCACCCCTCTCTTCCCCACGTCCTGAGTCCTGGGTGGGCAGACAAAGGCAGAGACCCCGAGGCAGGAGCTCACGGGAACCTTGACCGCCGGCTGCTTCTCCAAGACTCCTCACCCCGCTACTCACTAGTGCCCCCTGAGACATGTCCTGGGGGTCCCACTCAGGCTGGGGCACCAGCACCCACAGGCTCAGGGACAGGCACTCACCTCCCCGTCCAGCAGCTCAACCTCTCCTCCGTCCACCAGGATGGTCACCCGCTTCTTGCACTTCAAGGAGGGGTAGCTGCACCCCTCGTTCCCCACCAGGATGCGGAAGGTGCCCGGGTTGCCGCCACAATAATCCTGGGGGCAAGGGGCGTGAGGGGAGAGAAACAATTTGGTCACCTCCCCCCAGCTCCAGGGAGGGATCCCAGGAACTCAGGATGCGATGGGGGGCGGGGAGGGGCACAGATCATGGGGTGGGGCCTCCAGGAGAGCTTCTCCTGGTGAATCAACCTCAGCAGTAACATGAGGCCTGTGACCAGAGTCGGGATGTGGGCAGGGGGCCAAGGCAGGAGATAGGGACGCTGACCACTCCCAGCATGCTCTGCAGCGGCCACTGAGTCCTGCTCACTCCCAGCATGCTCTGCGGCCCTGTGGGCCTGACTCCCTCACTGCCTGATTCACGGGGCCCTGCAGCTCAGTGTCCAGTGGGTCTGTGGTCCTCCCTTCACGCCACACCAAGCCGTCCACTGCTCCCAGGCATGGTGAAAGACAGACCACAGCTATTTACAGTCTTACAGAGTCCCAGCACCTTGTTCCCTGTGAGAGAACCACTCACACTCGTCTGTGCAGCTTGCTGTCAACAAGCTCAACGAACTTGTCCAGGAAACCGCACCCCCACCCCACTAGTGGGAAGTGGGAGAGAGGAGTAGGGTGCCCCCGGGCTCGCTTCCTGCTGGCTGCAGGGCTGTGTGCATTTCTCTCAGAGGCAGCCCTCCACTCCTCCCCATCCAGGGACCAGGTTAGAGATGCAAAGGATAAAGAAGCCAACAGGACTCCAGGACCGGAAGTGAATTTTGGGGTTGCTTCAACCCTCCCCATCCAGGGCTGCTCCATGGGCTGCATCGGTAGTTCACTGCACGCAGGACTGATGTCCAGAGGGACACACACAAACACACACACACACACACACACACACACACACACACACACACACAGCTCATCCTGAGCCTGTGTCTGCTAGCTCCATTTAGGTGGCTGATCTGCGCTGTGGGTGGCCCTGTCTCCCACACCAATCCCAGTTCCCCCAAGGAGCTTCCGTCCTGCCTTCGTTCACCTCCCAGTCGCTGGAGGCAATCAGCCAAGGCGGAAGCATATTCGCACCCTCTATCTCTGCCATAGTTGTCTCAGGGGCTGCAGAACCACTCAGGAGAAAACCAGGGCAGAGTCATTTATAGAAGAACAGCTCGAGGGTCTTCTCTGGACACCTCCCCGCTCACCCATAACAGACACACACATGCACACACATACACACACATACATACATACCCATACACACATACATACATTCATGCACACACATACACATACACACACATACACACATATAACACATACACACATACGTTACACACGCATACACATACAACATACACCCATGCATACACACATGCACACATACACACACATACACCCATACATACACATACATACACATATACACACATGTACACATACACACATACATACATATACACACATACATACACTCATACACACATATACACATAAACACATGCTCATACACATAGACATATACATACACTCATGCACACACATACACACATATACACACATACATATATACACATACACACATGCACACAGATACACATACACACATACATATACACACACTAACACACATACACCCATACATACACACACATACACACATACACACATATACACACATATATACACTCATGCACACAAATACACACATATACACATACACATATGCACACACACATAGACACTTATAGTCATGCACACATACATATACACACATACACACATGCACACATATACACATACACACATACATATACACACACTAGCACACATACACACATACACACATATACACAAATACATACACACATATACACAAATACATACACACATACACAGATATACACAGATATACACATACACACATGCACACACACATATACACACATATACACAAATACACACATACACACACAGCACCCCCCGCAGACAGAGGCTGCAGCCTCCCTCCCCTCCCGTGCTCTCACCTGCACCAGGACGTACTGGCACTCCCCAGGGAAGAGGTACTTGAGCCCGTCGAACGTCAGGTAGTGGGCCATGCCAATGGCCGAGCAGGTGGCGTCACACACGTGCTGTGTGCAGTTCCACTTCCGGTCGCGACAGACACTGGGAACAGGAAAGGCGGGGTGACCCCTGGAACCCTGGACAGGAGGGGCTCATCTGGGCCCTGGGCAGGAGGAGACCCTGGAGGAGGCGGCTGCTGGGAAGCATCTGGGAATGGAGGGTCTGCACCCGGGGTGACGTGTCTGTGAAGACGGGGGAGCGAAGGGGCTGTGCCTGCTGCTTGCCATTACCCGGGGGAAACTGAGGCCAAGGAGTTGGGCTGGGAAGAGGGAGCTCAGAGCTGAGCATGGGTTTTTCACGCAGGAGGCCCAGGTGTGATCCCAGCACTGCCAGGGAGCTTCGGACACTGCTCGGAGCAAAGCCCAGACACTGGTCACCACTGGGTGTGGCCAGAAACCAAAAAGGAGAAGGGAAGAAAGCAAGGGGGGGGGGAGGGAGTAAAGGAGAGAGAGATAAAAGGGAGGGAGAGAGGGAGGGAGGGAGGGAGGGAGGGAGGGAGGGAGGGAGGGATGAAGGGAGGAAGGGAGGAAGGGAGGGAGGGAGGGAGGGAGGGAGAGAGGGAGGGAGGAAAAGAGGGAGGGAGGAAGGAAGGGAGGGAGGGAGGGAGGGAGGGAGGGAGGGAGGGAGGGAGGGAAGAAGGAGGGAAGAAGGGAGGGAAGAAGGGAGGGAAGGAAGGAGGAAGGGAGGGATGAAGGGAGGAAGGGAGGGAGAAAGAGGGAAGGAGGGAAGGAAGGAAGGAAGGGAAGGAAGGAAGGAGGGAAGGAAGGAAGGAAGGAAGGAAGGAAGGAAGGAAGGAAGGAAGGAAGGAAGGAAGGAAGGGAGGAAGGAAGGAAGAGAGGGAGAGAGGGAGGGAGGGAGGGAGGAAGGGAGGGAGGGATGGAGGAAGAGAGGGAGGGAGGGAGGGAGGGAGGGGGGAGGGAGGGAGGGAGGGAGGGAGAGCAGGTAGTCAGGAAGAAATTGGGCTGTAGAATAGGTTCAGCTGCCCTGGAAGAAGATACTGGAAGTGGCTCCAGAGACCAAGGCCACAGCCGTCTATGGCCCACCAGGAGGAGAGAGGCTACTGGAAAGTTCTGTGTGGGGAAGACCCACGCGCCCTTCTCCCGGAAAGGTTTGTCTGGGCTTGTCTGGGCATGGACACAAGCAGACCCATGCAGCCCCCGGGCACAGCCCACCCCGCAGTCCTAGAACCAAACAGGGCCCCAGACCCTCTTGCGTCTCCGGTACTCTCGGCCTTTCCCAAGAGCTGCTTACGGGGGAAAACCTGGGGACACCCATGGGTGGAGGAGGAAAGTGCCATCCCCGGGCTCTGTGCTTAGGGGGCAACTGCAACTGAGGCCGAAGAAGGACCCCCCCAACTCTGCCCCCTGATAGCTTAGTCACATGCAGGCAATGGGGCATCCTTTCCGCTCCTCCGCCCACGCCCGCTCAGAACCCCTGGCCACGTATCAAAAGAAGAGTGCAGGGTCCAAGTGGCTCCCCCAAAGTATAGGTGAGGGAAACAGAGAAAAGGGGAATTTCAACCATCCCTCCAGATGGCGAGGGGGCCACCCCCAGCCCCCAGCCCCTCACTGCCCAGCCAGCGCAGGGCCTCACCACGTGTTGCAATCCACCTTCACTGTCTGTCCCGGGGCAAACTCTTGGCCCTGGTGGAAGCAGGGACAGTTCTCCAGGGCCACACACCTATTTTCATGCCGGACCTGTGGGACAGGGAGTCACAAGTCACGGGTACAGTGGGAGTGGCCCCTGGGCCACCTGGGAAGGTTCTGACGCAGACCTGCTCCCTGGAGACCCCCATGCCCTTGTGCCCTGCTGCGGTCAGTGTCCAATGCCACACGATGACCCATGTCAGAAGCTGACGAGGGTTAGAGCGACAGTCCAGCAGGGAGGGCATTTGCCTTGCCTGCAGTCAACTCGGGTTCGATCCCTGGCATCCCTTAGGGTCCCCTGAGCACCGCCAGGAGTAATTCCTGAGTGCATGAGCCAGGAGTAACCCCTGAGCATGGGTATATCCCAAAAAGAAAAAAAAAATGAAAGAAAAAAGAGAAAAAAGGAGGGGAAAGGCACCCTTCTACCGGGAATTGTCTGGACAAACTTGAATTATGGTCACTGTTAATCTTGAATTATTTAGCATGGATGGCGGGGGCGGGGGGTTCAAACAAAAGGAAAATGTTTCCATCTATGTAGGAATCCCAGACGGTGGTGTTTAATGCACTGTTCAGACAGACACTGATGCTCCTTTCAAGAACAGAGAGGAGACATGGGTGCCCAGGTGGTCCCCATCAAGAAGCTACATATAGTCCCCCAAAAGGGACTTCGTGGAATCATTGCTGACCCCTCCAGGAGGTAGGCTGGGTGAGATCAGGGAACTGCGCTATCTTTGGGGGTTGAAAAATGTTTTCCCAGGGGCCAGAGAGATAGTTATGGGGTAAGACACTTGCCTTGCCACAGGCTGACCCCAGCTTGATCCCTAATACCGGCTACGTTCACCGGAGCCCCGCCAGGAGTGACCCCTGAGCACAGAGCCAGAAGTAAGCCCTGAATGTCACCAGGTGTGGGGCCCCCAAAACAAAAAATACAAAAATGTTTTCTCCAATATTCTTCAGTGAGTGTTTATTGCCTTTGAAACTGAAGAGAAGTGGCTGCGCCGTTAAATCAAATGGTCCCCTGAGCCTTAATGCACATATGCCCTAGGAGTGAAAGTTCTAGTCCCAAAGGAACATTGCCCTGCCCCTCCACCCCCCCCCCACCCCCCCTACCCCCACCCCCGCCATGCTTGGTCACTTCCACTTCTTCCTGAGATCCGCCACCTAGTGGCCACTCACAGAATGTAAGGCACATCTTGGAGGGGGCCGGAGGGGAGGGGGGTTCTTGACAGGCTTTGGACAGGCTCATACAGGAAAGAGGGCCAGACAGGCATCAATACAGGCAAGATTCTGGGACAGACGCAGGATGGATTCCAGGAAACAGCCATGTGAATGTTCCCCCCCACACACACCCCTGCAGACCCCGAGTCCCCTCTCCCCTATAGTAGGCTGGGGCAGCAGCTTCAGGCCATTGAATCTGCATGTGGGAAGGTTCTATCTCCCCAGGACCAAGAGGTAACATTTTGACAAATAGCTCAGAAATGAAAGAAAGTCACCAAGGGCTGGGTGGCCCTGCCCCAGGGGTGGGAGGTGCACGGGGGGCGGGGGGGGGGGGGTGGAGTCCTAGAAACTTAACCCTCCTCAGAGACAGATAATGCAAGCATCTCAGCCCGAGACACAGACTCTGACCTGGAAGACCCGAGAATCAGAGACCTGGAGACATCTGGTCAACCCAGAATGTGGCGCACAGAGGCTGTCTGGTCGGACAACTGGTCGACCTGGGAGCCACAAGACATGGGATTGAGGGATCTGGGACCAGGGACCTAGAGGTCTAAAGGCCCAGAAACATCTAGTCTGCCCCAACTAATTTCACTAAAGGGAAATGACTATCTGGGTTATGGTGAGGGACCTAGGTTGGCACTGACCACAGAAGCTGGGGTTAGACCTGACATCACAGCGGGTGGGCAGGCAGAGACAGCCTGAGCAGAGAGAAAAGAGTTTGTATCCCCGGCTTAGCTGCAGGCTTCCACAGGGGAGACGAGGACAAAACACAATAGTCTCCCAAGAGAGGTCCAACACTAATTCATGCAGTGAAAAGAGAAATGGATAAGGACAGTAGATACATGGGACAGATAGATTGCTCTATATCTGGAAACCTGCCTCATGAGCAAAGGGGAGAAGACAGCAAAGGGGAGAAGACAGAGAAGGGATCACTAAGAAAATGATGGTTGGAGGAATCGGTCGGGATGGGAGATGTGTGCAGAAAGTAGATAAGGGAACAAACATAATAACCTCTCAGGGTCTGTATTGCAAACCATAATGCCCAAAGTAGAGAGAGATTATGGGGAATAATGTCTGCCATGGAGGCAGAGGGAGGGTGGGAAAGTGGGGGTATACCAGGGATATTGGTGGTGGAGAATGTGCACTGGTGGCGGGACGGGTGTTTGATCATTGTGTGATTGTAACCCAAGCATGAAAGCTTGTAACTATCTCACGGTGAATCAATAAAATTTTAAGAGAGAGAGAGAGAGAGAGAGAGAGAGAAAGCTCCCTTATCCCAGACACGGAGAAGTTAAGGAACCACTCAGGATGAGCCAGATACAGTGAGAAGGCGTCAGGGCCAAAGCAGTTCCCACATGCATTGTGTCATCCTCACCTCATGTTTAACACGAAGATAAACAGGGACTGGGGCGATTGTATAGCAGGTAGGCCACCTGCCTTGCACAAGGCCAAGCAGGGTTCAATGCCAGAAAAACCTATATGGTCCACTAAGCATCACTAGGAGTAATTCCTCAGTGCAGGGCCAGGTATGTGGAGCTTGGTGATAGGCACTGGAGCAGATAAGATCCGACCTTGCAAAGCAGCTCAGAAGTGAAGCCTCACAAAAGGAGTTGGAAAGAACAGGGTGTCAGCCAGCACCAGGTGTTCAACCTTGAGTCTCACTCAACCTCCTAGTCACATGAGCCCTAGACACAGAAAACTGTCATGTATGCTTAGCAAGTCATCCTAACTGCAGCATCTAGCCTTGATTGAGATTAGACCGGGGCAAAGCAGAGTTGGAGAGGTGACTGGACTTTCTTGTAACCCTCTATAAAATATGTGTGTATCTGACAACAAGGTGCTCCCAGAGGATGTTTCTCTGTGCACCTGTCATCCTTTGCCCCACATCTGCCCCGACCCAGTGTGCAACGTGTCCAGGCACCTAGGGGGAAAACTGTTCCCCAACAAGGTATAATCTTGGAGCATCATAAGTGTGACCCAAACACAAACACACAGACACAGTCCTCCCGTTGTTCATCGATTTGCTCGAGCGGGCCCAGTAACGTCTCCATTGTGAGACTTGTTGTTACTGTGTTTGGCATATTGAATACGTCATGTTATTACTGTGTTTGGCGTATTGAATACGTCACGCGTAGCTTGCCAGGCTTTGTCATGCGGGTGAGATACTCTCGGTAGCTTGCCAGGCTCTCTGAGAGGGGCGGAGGAATCCAACCCGGCTCAGCCAGGCTGACTGTGCACAAGGGGAACGCCCTACCGCTGTGCTATCGCTCTAGCCCATGACCTAAAAATAATACATAACTAAATAAAATAAAATGAAAACAATCAGTATCGAGGAGATGGTCATCAATGAAAAGAATGTAGGCTTTTTCTAGTGCAGGAAGGCTGATTAGGAGACTATTTTTGCAAGTGTAGGACGTACCTTTAAGAGGGGAAGGTTTTTTTTCCTTTTTCAAAGGATTCCCAAGGTCTTTTAGGGCCATGAAGAAGGTTCACTCTGATAGGCCTAGGGCAGCCTGTATTCTCATACTGGGCCTCTCAAGAGGTTCCAGGCACCAGCTGGTCCTATGTACCAGTATGAAAAACGTGACCATATTTCTAATGGTCCATGAGCTTCTCCCAGACAGCAATCCTGCAATCTCCCCAGAGTGCCTACCGCAGGACCCCCAGACAGGCAAAAGGGTTTCCCAGTCAAGGGGTTGGGCCCAGAAAATCCTGTGCTTTGCTGCCACTGAGTGGTGAGATCAGGCAGTGTTCTGACTTAACATGAAGCCCCCAAAACAATGTTGCTTCAATTAAATAAAATATTTTTGGCAGAGAAAAGAGGAAATGTGAGCTAAATAAAAAGACCTGGGAGGTCTTCTAGGGGGACCTTCTCAATGTCTGAAGCCAGTGGGAGAATGTGGATTCTAAGGCTATACTCGTTTCCCAGAGCATCTGATCATGATCTGATTCATGGTTCTCTCCCAGGATCTCCTTATGGAAGAAGTCATTAAGGTCATTAAGGAGCTGGAGAGACAGGACCGGAAGTAAGGGGATGCCCTTCATGCAGCAAATCCTAGGCCCACCCCTAGAGTCACATGTGGTCTCCGGAGCATCACTCCTGAGCACAGAGCCAGGAATAGGCCCTGAGCTTTGTAGGATGTGGCTCCAACCTCCCTCCACTCCCTAACCCCCACCTCACCCCTGGCCAAGAAAAGGAAAATGGTCATCAAGTCATCACTTACTAAACAAATGCCACATGCCTACCCCTGCCAGCCCTAGTCCCTCCTAGACCCCCTAAACAATGTGACAAATGACCAAAAAGAGGGGAAAAAAAGAGGACACATCAGTTTTAAGTGACTTCCATCCAGTTCTAGAAATGGAGGGGAGCCAGGATTCAAACCCTGAAGAAGGGCCTCCACGCGAATGCTTTCACCACCACCAAACACACATGACCAAAGCATCTCTACCCCATGGGCTGGCATGGGAGGTTTGGGTTGGGTTTTCTTTTTTCTTTTTTTCTTTTTTTTGGTTTGGGGGCCATACTCGGTGGTACTCAGGGGTTATCCTGGCTCTGTACTCAGGAAGCACTCCCGGCAGTGCTTGGGGAACCAAATGGGACACGGAACTGAATCCAGGTCGGATGTGTGCAAGGCAACTGCTTTCGGCATCCCCCCTGTGCTATCTCTCTGACCTCCCACCCCAGTGCTGATCCCATAGAGGCCTTGGGAGCGGCAGCAGAAGCAGGTGGCACCTGCAGCTGGTGGGATGGGCCGGAAGTTCTTCTCCAGAAGTGCTGGACTGGAGCTGCAGAGAGGGCTCCCTCCCTGCTAAAACAGTTCCAAACAGGTGCTGCTAGTCTGACGGCGTCACTGAGGCAGGGCCCAGTGGAACCAAGAACATGGCAGTGAGAGTCACAGGTGTGAGAGCCACGGGTGTGATTGAAAGGCAGCAAGAATTAGCATGAGGGGCTCCATATATGAGCTACAATCCCACACTACAATGATTTAATGCTAAGCAGGCATGTTGGACAGGCTATCCGGGTTGACCTTTAACCTAGCTAAGACAATCATGGGCATAAGTTCTGGGAAAGCAGAAGAATAAGTAAAGACGCAGGACCACACAAGGAAAAGCACAGGCAATAGCCTAAAAAGGGGAAAGAAAGTCAAATTTGGGTCATCGGAGTTAGCAGGTGACGGCAACAAGGAAGAGATAAGCCAACCAAGAAAACACACAACCCTAGGGTCCTGGGATGGAGTCATTCCAAGGCAGGAGGGTCCGAACCCAAGTAAGGGGATAAAAAGGGATGCCCACAAGCCAACAAGGTCACCCTCTGTCCAGGGGACCCTGGTCGACCAGTATATGTGCTTGGTGAGAATAAAAAACTTTTTTGGGGGGTCATACCCGGTGATGCACAGGAGTTACTCCTGGCTCTGCACTCAGAATTACTCCTGGCAGTGCTCAGGGAATCATAGGGGATGCTGGGAATTGAACACAGGCCGGCCATGTGCAAGGCAAATGCCCTACCCGCTGTGCTATCGCTCCAGCCCCAGAATTTCTTTGCTCACATTTTTGACTCTGTCTCATTGCTCGGATCACGGACCCTAACAGTGATGATGCATGTGGGAACCTGGGGACCATGAGACGCTTGGTCATCTGTGTTCTGGACCCCGCAGGTTATGGCTGGTGACAGCTGGGGGGGGGGGTCTCTGTTTTTGCATGAGGGGACTCTCACTTTGCTCTTCATTTCGTTTTTTTTTTTTTTGCACATCCCTCATTTCTAGTGTATTCACAGAACAAAACACGTGGGAAATTTAAGAACAAGAGCCTCTCCTTCACAGAAGTGGGTCTCGGGGCTGGAGCGATAGCACAGAGGGTAGGGTGTTTGCCTTGCACACGGCTGACCCGGGTTCAATTTTCAGCATCCCATATGGTCCCCCAAGCACTGCCAGGAGTAATTCCTGAGTACAGAGCCAGGAGGAACCCCTGGGCATCGCTGGGTGTGACCCAAAAAGTCAGAGAGAGAGAGAGAGAGAGGGAGAGAGAGAGAGAGAGAAGTGGGTCTTCATGGTCGACAAACAACCATTGAAGCTATTCCTGTGATTTCTGCAGAACCTTCTGGTTTTAAAAGTTGCTTGCCTAAGACCAGCTGGAGAGACAGTGCAGGGGACAAGGCGCTGGCCTTCCAGGTGGCCGAGCCCAGTTCAAATCCAGGTACCCATCAGGGTATAGCCAGGGAGAGCCCTGAGCCTCAACCCCAGAACACTGGGTCGAGAACCCCGAAACAAGTTCACTGAGGGGGACGAACAATGCTCCATTGTTCATCCATGTCCTAGGAGGTGATGCATGCCTGGGCGGGGGGTGCAAATAGCATGTAAATAGGATGTCAGTCATATGTCATCATATACAAATCAGCAGCCCTCCCGTCTCCCTGCAGGGAAATGTGAGCTTTGGGGGGATTCTAGTCATGTCTGTTCTGTTCCGGGTAAACCTGTTCTACACTCCCCACTTGGTTCTTAAGTTCTGAGGTTTTTGTGAGATTTCAGGAGGATCAAGATCAGACACTTGGCCATCAACCTGCTTCTGGGTTGGGGTGACTGACCCAGCCGCGGGGGACGTTCCCTTGCCACATGTCCCCAACATCCTCCGGGCTGAGCTGTGTTGGGCTCCACAGCCCACCTGCCGGGGCTCCCAGGCTGCCCAGTGGGTGGAAGCGGGGGGGGTCTCACCATGCCTGGGGGGCACAGACAGCCCGAGACGCAGCCGGCACTCATGCACTCCAGATCATAGTTCTGGCAGGTCTTGGCACACTCCAGCCCTTCCGCCCGCGGGTTGTCGGCAGGACACACCAGCTTGACCATGGGCGGCCGGCACGACAAGCTCCTTTTGCCTGGGGGAGAGGAAAACCCAAAGAGAATGATGGGAGGGAACAAACGAGCAGTTCGGGGGACCCCAGAAGTCCCAGCTGCCCCCCAAGGCTGGCACTCCACTGCCAAGAGCTGTCCCCAGTCTGGGGTCATGAGCCGGGCCCCCTCTGCTGGAGTGGAAACCTAGGCCAGTGTCCTTGGAGGTCATCTCTCCTCTCCACCCCAACAGTAGGCACCCCAGCCCAGCCTCCCTCTGCTGGCCACTCCCCTCACCATCCTCAACGCCTCTGCCTGGGAATTTAGTGAATCAGAGAGAAATATCTAGAAACATGCAGAGCCAGCTGGGTATGGTGTGGGCATACAACCTTGGCGGGCCCTTCCCAAAGCAGCCGCAACTCCTTGAAAGCCACAGAGACATTCTCACTGCTACAACCTCACTTGAGCCGTTTTATTCTCGTTTGGTTTGCTTATCCATTGAGGGCAGCACTGCACAGTGCTCTGGGGACCAGGTGGTACCAGGGATGGAGCTCAAACCTCCCACACACCCTGCGGTCCTCTGAGCCTGCTCTCCAGCCTGGCCAAAAAGGGACCTTCTCTTCAGTGTCATCCTGTACCCGGCCTCTGCAGTGAGCTGATGGCAGGGCCCCCTCCCCATCCCACCCTGAGGACCACACTCACTGCGGTGAGCCAGGGGGCTGCTGAAGATCACATCAGGTACCAGGCTTCCCGGGCTGCCACTCGTGCTGCAGTGCATGAAGCCGTCCTCACAGTAGCTGTGGAGAGGGAGACCCGCCCAGCTTCACACATGGAACAGCTCCACAGCACACAGATGCACACGTACACACACATGCACACACATGCACATACACACATACGCACACACATGCGCACACACACACCCACATGCATGCATGCACACACACGTGTGCACATGTACCCTGCTGACTCACACACGCACACACACATACCCCTCTCATTCATACACACACAACACACACACACACACACACCCCAAATAATCTGACTTCAGTTTACTGAAGCCCCCTGGTCTCCGGAGCTGCTCAATCCAGTAGTTCCGTTGCAGTTCTTTTTTCTTTTCTTTTTTTTTTTTTTTGGCTTTTTTGGGTCACTCCTGGCTCTGCACTCAGGAATTACCCCCGGCAGTGCTCGGGGGACCATATGGGACGCTGGGAATCAAACCCGGATTGGCTGCGTACAAGGCAAATGCCATACCCGCTGTGCTATCGCTCCAGCCCATCCGTTGCAGTTCTTGTTTGAAGGGGTTGGTCTGTTTATTGGGGGGAAGGGGCCACGCCTGGCACTGCTCAGGGCTGACTCCGGGCTCTGCACCCAGGGACCACTCTTGGAGGGGCTCAGGGAACCATATGGGATGCTGGCGATCCAAAAGGGGTCTGTCACATGCGGGCAGTAAATGTCCTAGAATAGCCCTGATGATGCCAAGGCCAACCTTGCAGAAAACAGGAACTAAGGCCTGATAAGACCCTCACCTATCCCCAGTAACAGACCCAGAGAAGCTCCAGCAGAAACTAAAGGCCAAGAAAGGAATTTGAAAGAAGACCATCACCACTCCTAACCCCCCTTGGTAACCCCCTTAGCAACGAACTTTGACCTAAGTAGGGGTATGTTGGGTTTAAAACTCTATAAAAGCCACCGTGAACAAAGGAAGGGCGCACATATGCTGCCCGAGCCTATGTGCTGCTTGTACCCACGTGGCCAAGCACATGTGGTGCCCGAGCACATGTGTCGCCTGCATCTCCCCTCTTGAGTTGTGGACTTTCATGCTTTCCTGTCTAATGCTGAGGTGTGTGTAGGGGCTCTCTCCGCCCTTGGAGAAGTCTGGATTCTCTCTTGAGCACGTTACTCTCCACTCTCTCCCACTTTGTCTCCCTCCTCTCCTTTTTTTTCTTTTTGGGTAATACCCAACAATGCACAGGGGTTACTCCTGGCTCACGCACTCAGGAATTACTCCTGGCAGTGCTCGGGGTACCCTATGGAATGCTGGGAATCGAACTTGGGTCAGCCGTGTGCAAGGCAAACGCCCTCCCCACTGTGCTATCGCTCCAGCCCCTCCTCCTCTCCTTCTTAAACCTCGCTTTACCAAGGTCACCACTGGTCCCACTGACATTGCCCCCGACCCCGGCCTCATGTCTCTGCCCCTTCAGGAAAAAATCAGTGGGATCCTTGTTGCACCCCACAACCTCTAAGATCTCTGGCTTCCTTCCTTTCCCCGCTACTGAAACCAGGGGGCTACACACTGACCGTCCGATCTCCAATTCAAAGAGGTAATCCCTAGTCTCGGTAAAGCTGCAAGATGAAGGATAGGGACTCTCTCTCTCTCTCTCTCTCTCTCTCTCTCTGTCTCTCTGTCTCTCTCTCTCTGCCTCAAATTCTGTAGCATGAAAGAAGCGAGGCTTAAGGTCCCACGAGCAACGACTAAGGTCCCAGAGAGACAAGCCTCAAACGCCACAGCCAGACAACTGTGGGCTGCAGCCCCCGGCTCAGACCAGCGGAAGGCGGGCTCACTTCCTGCTCTCTCCCCCACAGGACAGCCCCGTCCCAGCTCAGCCCTTTGTGGATCCTTTTGTCTTTCCCTCTCCCCTCCACTCCCACCCACCAGCCTCCTCCTGAATATCTGAAGGTTTACCCCACCTGAGCTCAGATCTCTTTCTCTCTCTTCTTTTTTGGTCACACCCAGTGATTCACAGGGGTCACTTCTGGCTCTGCACTCAGGAATCACTCCTGGTGGTGCTTGGGAGACCCTATGGGAAGCTGGGAATTGAACCTGGGTTGGCTGCATGCAAGGCAAGCGCCCTACCCACTGTGCCATCACCACTTCAAACCCCCTTAGCAATGAACTTAGCAATGAACCCCAGAGCTCAGATCTCTTGCCCATTCCCTGGATGCCTTCCGCTACCCAGCCAAGTTACTCCCATCCCTACAGTTTCTACAAACTACCCACTCTATCAACTCTTTTCTTTGGGCTCAATCTCCAGCTTAGGCTCCAGGCCCCTAAACTTCTAGCCACTGGTTCTGTTCTATTCCCCCAAGATGCCTCGTGGCCACTGAGAGTCATCAAGGCTGAAACCAGAGCCAGAGAGGCAGTCCAGAGAGGTTCATGCATGTGGCCTATCTCAGTTTATCCCTGGCACTGCATTGGGTTCCCTAAGCACAGCCAGGGGTCACATGAGCATGGACCCATGAGTAGCTCCCGAGCACTACTGAATTTGGTCCACCTGCACCCAAAAAAATAAATAAATAGACCCAAACTCACAGTCTTCCCATTCCCTCAACTCTTGTGGTCATGATGTTCTCCAAGAGCGCAGGGACCAATACCCCACCTGTCTGCACACATCCTAGTGTCTCTCGCCTCTGTCTGTTGTGTGAATATTCATACAGTCAGAGGTGCTGAGACCAGGAACGCGAGTGAAATTATTTTTCACGGAGGGCCCGGGTTCGCTCAGACCCTGTGACAAAGATCGAGCTTCCTGAGACCTCCTTTGATTACCATCCTACTGTTCATACCTCTAAAGGGCTCAATACAGTGAGGTGATCAATAAAGAATAACAGGAAGAACATGCAAAGCCAAAAGCTTTTCTGCATACTGAAAACAAACAGGCTAAGTATCTGAGATCTGCATACAAACAGGCTAAGTGCCGGGAATCTGTGAGAAGAGGAAAACTGACTCTTTCGGTATACTGAAATTTATGTTATTTACTGAAGGCAGCTTAAAAGAAAGAGATGTTCAGCCTCATCCAAACCAGTGAGGAAACACGAGTAATCTCTCACATTTTCATGGGTCCCTGTGCTATGCCCATTTGCAGATCAGTTACACGGGCTCATCCAGTGCTCTAGGGAAGCCAAGTGCATCCGGGGATCGAACTCAGGGCCTCGAATCCTCTAAGGCTAATGCTGGACCACTGGAACCACATCCCTGGTACCCAGAGTACCTACTGACCAGACTGCATCAACCATCTTCCTCCGGCTCATCTTCCTGCATTCACACCTCAGGCAGCTTCCAGTCTTGCCTCAGAGCAGCATGTGGACCATTTTTTTTTCCTCTGCTAGAATCTTCCCTGGGCTTGAGTAAACCTCAGATGCTGGTCCTCACTCGATCCTGCAAAGGCCCCCTGACTCTGCTCCCAGATTCTCTCCCTTCTTGGCTCTCCTTCAGATACTTAGCCTCTGGGCTGGAGGGAATAGCACAGCGGGTAGGGTACTTGCTTTGCACATAGCCAACCCCAGTTTGATCCCGAGCATCCTATATGGTCCCCAGAGCCCTGCCAGGAATGATCCCTGAGCACAGAGCCAGGAGGATGTCCTGAGCTCTGCGGGATGTGATTCTAAACCAAAGAGAGAGACAGAGACAGAGAGAGACAGAGAGACATAGAGACAGAGAGAGAGAAAAGCAAAAAAGAATCGGAAGAAATATCAACAGAAGCCTTTTATGATGAAATGATAGGAGAGCTGAGCTTTTTCTAGAAACAAAAGGGAGAAGAGAAAGTAAGAAGCCCAATGAAGTGCAAATCCTCCTGGCTAGGCTGGTGCTTCTGGTCCTTAAGCTATCTTGCTCCTTGAAGCCTGTTTGGAATTTTCCATTGTTGGGACCTGGTAACTGGATCCCCCAAGGAGACTGTTGGCTTTGTTGGGGCTGACAGGGCTTGCTGCATCTTGGTGTGTGTTTTGGGAGGGAGTGCTCTGTGCATGGGATGGGGGTGGCTCCTGACTCTGTGCTCAAGAGTCCCTCCTAGCAGTGCTTGGAGGACCACAGGGTCCTGGGAATCAAACCATGTGTGCAGATATGTGAAGTCGACTGCACTCTCTCCCGCCCCTCATCTTTAGGTCTCTAAGCTCCAGTTTAGAACCAGGGTGCCAAGGAAGTGCTGGTTCCGCCAAAGTCCCCTTACAATTCCTACTGTGACCTTGACCTTCTGCTGACACTTCCTGCCTGCTGTGGCAGGAGGTACCCACCCAGAGGGGTCGGGAGCTGGTGGGACAGTGCATGAGGCAGGGAAGGAGGAGGTGCTGCTCAGGGCTGCCTCCACCCTACAAGCTCTACAGGGGGCAGAAGCATCTCCCACTTCCTGTTCTCTAAAAAGAAACAGGATCTGGGTGACCACCCACTGGGCATCTGGGCCACCATCCCGAAGTCTCACTTCCCTGATTTCCCAGCCCCGCTGTTGATGCACCATGCAAACTCCAGGCCAGCCCCTCCTTTCCCAGGCCTCTGTTTACCCATCTGCACAATGGGAGGGTTGAAGACCAGTGCTCACCACATGGTGTGATGGTCCGAGAAGACGTCTTCGGGCTGGAAGATCTCACCGTCGTAGTAGCAGGGACACTGGGCCTTGGGCACACACTCGCCGCCTTCGTCCAGGTAGAGCCCAGGCGGGCAGAAGCAGCCCTCCAGGCACTCCTCAACACACTCCTCGTCCGGGTACGAGAGGGAGCGGCAGGTCCTGTTGCAGAGGCTCCCGCATTGCAGGTACACCTGGCCGGCCGGGCAGTTCAGGGCTGGGGGACAGGGCGCAGGAGTCAGGTGCCACTCTGCACCCATCGGCCTCTCTCCTCCCCACCCTGGTTGACGTTGTTCCAGCTGGGCTGGCTCAGCACACACACAGGCTTTTGCCTGTTTTCGCACTGAGCACCGACTGCATACTCTGTTCTTCACACAGTCACATTGAGCACCGACTGCATACTCTGTTATTCACACAGTCACACTGAGCACCAACTGCATACTCTGCTCTTCACAGCCACATTGAGCACTGACTGCATACTCTGCTTTCACAGTCACACTGAGCACCTACTGAATACCCTGCTCTTCACACAGTCACATTGAGTACCAAATGCATACCCTGCTATTCCCAGAGTCACACTGAGCACCAACTGCATACCCTGCTTTTCACACGGTCACACCGAGCACCTATTGAATACCCTGCTCTTCACACAGTCACACTAAGCACCTACTGAATCCCCTGCTCTTTACACGATCACACTGAGCATTGACTGCACACTTTGCTCTTCACATAACTGCATACCCTCACACACACTCACACTGAACATCAACTGTGTACCCTGCTCTTCACAGTCACATTGAGCACCGACTGAACACCCTGCTCTTCACAGTCACACTGAGCACCAACTGCATACTCTGCTCTTCATAGGGTCACACTGAGCACCGACTGCACACTCTGCTCTTAACAGTTACACTGAGCACCTTCTGAATACCCTGCTCTTCCCAGAGTCACACTGAGCACCAGCTGCATACCCTGCTTTTCACACAGTCACATTAAGCACCTACTGAATACCCTGCTCTTTACATGATCACACTGAGCACCTACTGAATACCCTGCTCTTCACACGGTCACACTGAGCACCTACTGAATACCCTGCTCTTTACATGATCACACTGAGTATTGACTGCATACTTCGCTCTTCACGTGGTCACACTAAGCACCAGCTGCATACCCTGTTCTTCACATGCTTACACTGAGCACCAACCGCATACTCTGCTCTGCACCTGGGCTTCGTGCCTTTTGTGGCTTGAGCAAGCCCTTCCTGTAGACAAGCATGCAAACTCTGAAACACAACTATGCCTCCAATAGTGGCAGGGGGCACTCTTCACGAGCTGGGGGCTAAACCAGAAGTCCTGCTTCAGAGGCCCGCCCACTGCCAACCACAGGGCCACGCACACCCGCCCTAGCAAAGCAGGCAGGCCTCTGGGCCCTCATGCCCCCTGGCACCCCAAGGCAACAGAAGTCAAGCAAAGCACAGTGCAGCCTGCACCATGCCTTCTGCCCCCACAGAACTGGCTGGAGCCCCAGTTCCAAGCCACCGAGGTGCCCTACAGCACCATCATCTCCAGAACAGGGTGACCCCATCACCGGAGCTGGTGACATGGCTGCCGTGTCTACAGGGATGCCCGAACCTGCTTGGAGACATTCTCAGGGAGGTCCAGCTGACCGGGACAGACCGTGCAATGCTTGGCCCCAGTGATGTTTGCAGCACTGCTTAGCTCGAGAAGAGTGGGGGCCTCTAAAGATACACCTGGCGGAGCTTAGGGGACCACAGGGTGCCCAAGATGGAGCTCTGGTCCTCAGTCAACATCCCGACCCCCCAGCCATCCCCCATCTGTGGGGGGAACACAGTACCAGTCAGCTGACTGCAGAGAGAAGCCAACACTCATGGGCTTTCCCCAGCTCACACCCCCCTCCCCGCCCCACAGAACAGGCTGCCAAGCACCCCAAGGCTACGGGGTCCTTCATGGAAGCACAGGGTCAGTCGCACTCAGCCTTTGCAAGGACTGCCCTCACGCTGATGCGCCAGGAAAGGAGCCTCTGCCCCTGCACACGGCCCTGGCAGGACCAGAAGACGCCACCCGCCTCTCGGGCTGACAACGTTAACACAGCCCAGGCCCTCTGCAGAGCACTGCACAGAGCGAGCCCTGGCCAGGAGCCTTGGAACCAGGGCTCAAACGGGAGCATCTCTGAAACAGCCCATGGGGTCCTACTTCGAGAGCTGCTCTGGGTTTGGAGGATGATGAAGAAATGGGCCCGGTGCAGTGAGGATGGAAGGGGTATCTGAGTGCCACGTGGCTATACTTTTCCTGCCTTTGGAGAGACCCAGGGGGCCGCTGGTAGGTGGAGGCTTTGTGGGTGCCCTGGCTTCAGCCCTTCCCCTCCTTTCTCCAGACTGGACTTCCCTCGCCAGCATTTGCTGTCTGGAAGTAGCACTTGTGGGTCACTTCCGTTCTCATTGCTCCCAACCCACTTCTTCTTTTTTTTTTTTAACAATTATTTGGAGAATGGCTTGGAGGCCAGCCACACATGCTAGGGGAAAGAGCAGCTCAGAGAGAGAAGGGAGCGCCAAATAAAGGGTGTTGGGAGGATCCTCCCAGGATGGGAGAAATATGCTGAAAGTAGACTATAGACCAAACATGATTGTCACCCATTGCCTTTCTTGCAAACCACAACACCCAATAAGAGAGAGAGAACAAAAGGGAATGCTCTGCCACAGAGGCAGGGTGGGATTGGGGAAAGGGGGGGTGGGAGGGATCCTGGGATTCCGTAGTGGTGGGAAATGGGCACTGGTGGAGGGATGGGTACTTGATCATTGTATAACTGAAACCCAAGCACAAAAATTTGTAAGTCTACAACTGTACCTCATGGTGTTTCACTAATAAAAATTTTTTAAAAACAATATTTGGGGGAGTTGGAGCAATAGTACAACGGGTAGGGCGTTTGCCTTGCACATGGCCGACCTGGGTTCGATTCCCAGCATCCCATATGGTTCCCTGAGCACCGCCCGGAGTAATTCCTGAGTGCCAAGCCAGGAGAAACACCTAAGCATTGCCAGCTGTGACCCAAAAAGCAAAAATAGAGGGGCTGGAGCGATAGCACAGTGGGTAGGGTGTTTGCCTTGCACGCAGCCGACCCAGACTCGATTCCCAGGATCCCACATGGTCCCCCTGAGCACCACCAGGAATGATTCCTGAGTGCATGAGCCAGAAGTAACCCCTGTGCATCACTGAGTGTGACCCAAAAAGCAAAAAAAAAAAAAAAATCTCCGTTTGGGGCTGGAGTGATAGAACAGAGAGTAGGGCGTTTGCAGCTGACGTGGTTTGATCCCCAGCATTCCAGATGGTCCCCCGAGCTCTACCAGTTGTAATTCCTGAGTGCATGAGCCAAGAGAAACCCCTGTGCATCGCCGGGTATGACCCAAAAAGCAAAAAAATAAGTTTGGGGGGGATGAGGACACCCCCAGAGGTGTTCAGGGCCTTACCCACTGTACTATCTCTTTGGCTCAAAACATAATAGGCTCATTATATTCACAATGACAACACACCACACATACACCCATAAATGCACACCCGGGAGAGTCTCTTCAAATCCTTGCTGTGGGTGCCTCCTGCCACGCCCCTTCACTCCCAAGCTGGACCTCAGCGCTGAGACCCCACTGGGCAGTCAGCAAATCATTCCAGAAAAGCAGCACCATCCACCACCAGCCAAGTGCCATCGAGCCCCTGGAGTGTGGCAGAGATGCCAACTCTGAGGCCAAGGATCTACCCTGCTCCCGGGTTACAGGAATCACCCTCACCCCGACAACCCCCTCACCGCACCCTTTTGCTCCTCAATTGAGCAGTACATGCACTGGACACTAGGGAGACCCCACTAGCTCTGGGCACAGGCAGGGCTGGCAGCGCCGCGGGAGGCTGGCAGGGGATGTGCACTGTGCTGGCAGCAGACGCGCCCTGGAGTGGGGACAGGGCGCGCGGGTACCCACCGCAAAAGCCGGGCTCCCGCCAGCCGATGCTCACGCCTTTGCGCGCACACGCCGCGGCGTAGCTGGCCACCGCGTCGCATACGCAGTCCCGGCCGTCGGCACAGGAGCACACGTCGAAGCGGCAGTTGCGTAGGTAGGGCTGGGGGCCCACGGCCGCGTGGCAGGCTTCGAACCTGGCGGACGTCAGGAGCGCACAGGCCTCCTCGGCGAACCTGGCTGGAGAGGGACGGAGAGAGGAGGTAGCTGGGGAGGGGACCGTGGAGAGTCCCCTACCACACCCCCACCTCCAGGCTGGCCCCCAGTGCCCCTTAGTCCAGCTTCTCCTTGGACAGTACATTCTGCAATAAAAAATTAGTTAATAAATAAACCCTTTCTCTCGGCTCCCGGAATCACGGTGATTTTTCTTTTCTTTTTGGGTCACACCCGACGATGCTCAGGGGTTCCTCCTGGCTCTGCACTCAGGAATTACTCCTGGCGGTGCTCGGAGGACCCTATGGGATGCTGGGAATCGAACCCGGGTCGGCCGCTTGCAAGGCAAACACCCTCCCTGCTGTACTATCGCTCCAGCCCCCAGTGATTTTTTTTTCTTCTGCAGTCCATATACTTTTCTAATTGGGTTTGACATGATTCACTGCATAATAGACTTTCAGAATAAACTGCTTTCTGGACACACACACGCACGCACACACACACACACACACACACGGGCAGAGGGAGGAAGAGCCTCTGGGCAGGCTGGGTACATGGGTGTGTTAATGGTGGCTGAATGGCTGTCTTCTCTGCCACCACAGATAATTCTGCATTTGCGGGTTTATTTCCAGACAATTTCATTCAGCCTCTGTGGCTTCAAAGACTTTCAACAAACTGGAGAATGGGGCAGGAACTCGGTGCTGCACTTAGCTTTCCCAGGCTGGAGGTCCCCAGGGGGCTTCCCTGGAGGGGCTTTGGAGAAGGCAGGACCTTGAGGTCACCTACAGTGGGTAGGGGGCTGGCCTTGCACATGTTGGACCCTGGACACGTCCCAGCAGGAGTGATCTCAAGGCACAGAGCCAGGAGTAAACCCTGAGCATAGAGGGATATGGCCCAGAAATTTTAAAAAATAAAATAAAATAAATAATAATAATAGTAATAATACAGGACCCTGGAGCCAGAGAGAGAGTACAGCAGGTGGGGCTGGAGCAATAGCACAGTGGGTAGGGCACTTGCCTTGCACGCAGCAGACCTGGTTCGATTCCCAGTATCCCATAGGGTCCCCTGAGCACCGCCAGGAGTAATTCCTGAGTGCAGAGCCAGGAGGAACCACTGTACATCGCCAGGTATGACCCTAATAATAATATTATTAATAATAATATCCTGGGGCCAGAGAGAGAGAGTACAGCGGGTAGGGCGCGTGCCTTGCGGGCATCTGATCTGGGTTGGATCCCCGGCACCACATATGGACCCCTGAGCTCGCCAGGAGTGATCCCTGAGCCCAGGGCAAGGAGTAAGCCCTGGGCACCAACGAGGTGGGGTGCCCCCCCCCCAAAACGCCAGGCAGGCTGCAGGTGGAGGCCAGACTTGCCAGCACCGCCCTCTCCCACCCTCGCCTGCGCCGCCGTCCACCTACTCTGGCGCGGATTGAGCGCGCAGGGGTCGATGGGCTGCCGGGGCAGGTCTTCGCAGTCCGCGTGCAGCTTCCAGGCGTTGCCAAAGTCCTCCACCAGCGGCTCCACCAGGCCGGCGGGCGTCAGGAAGTCGTCGCCGCGGTTGCCGTTGTAATTGCCGCACAGACCGCACGTGCGCCCCGCGAACACGGGGGAGAGCTGCGAGGAGAAAGGGGCACCCTGGAGCCGCTGCTGCCAGCGCCTTCTTGGGCCCAGAAGATGGTTTTCATGCAAAACGCGCTGTGACATATCTGTCACTGTCACTGAACTCTCGCTGTTCATTGATTTGCTCAAGCGGGCACCAGTCACGTCTCCATTGTGAGACTTCTTGTTACTGTGTTTGGCATATCGAATACGTCATGGGTAGCTTGCCAGGCTCTGCCGTGAGGGCGGGATACTCACGGTAGCTCGCCAGGCTCTCTGAGAGGAGCGGAGGAATCGAACCTGGGTCGGCCGCATGCAAGGCAAAGGCCCTACCCGCTGTGGTATCACTCCAGCCCACACACATCAGTAGAGAAAATCTGGAAACCTCAGCTAAGCCCCAGGCTCTAGCATGGAGAGTGGGTGATTTGGACTGCAGGAGGCGCAAGGGATGGCAGCGTCCCCAGCTCTGGGCTGCCGGGACTGGAGGGGAGTACCAGGATCCTGTTATTTAGGGAGAGAAACTGTGTAGGAGGAGAAGAGCCCTGAGTTCAGCCACAGACCCCCAACAATTAAGTATAATAACCAGGAGGGCGATGCTGGCTGCAAATGTGGGGAAGTAACTTACTGGGGGCTGAGTCTAGACCAGCCATATCAGACCCACACACCTCTAGCATTTGGTGGCAAGGAACAAGTTCTTTACGGCACCCGGAGAGATCAGAGGGAAGGGGAGTTAGCCTCACACACTGGCCACTTGGGTCAGAACCGCAGCATCCCATAGGGTCCCCTGAGCCTCACCAGGAGTGATCCCTGAGCACTGTGACAGGAGCCAGTCCTGAGCACAGTTGGATATGGCTCCAAAAAAAAAAAATAGAGGATGAACAAGTTCCACCTCGCTGCCCTGAGCATCCACGAGAGGGCATCCAGGGTATCCAGGGGGTGCACCAGATTCTGGGCTGGTATCTCCTCCACTCTCCTGAGCCCAAAGCGCCCTCTGGAACCCTTGGGACCTTGAGTCCCGCTTTTCACGCACAGCTGGAGGCCCCTGCAGCTTCCTGCAGAGAGTGAGGTGGGTCACAGCTGAGCCTGGGACTGATTGTAACTGATAAGGTTGTAACCTCCCAGGCTGAGTCCCTAACCCACCGGCAGCCTGCCTCTCTTCCAGATCTTTCCTGAAGGGGTAGTACCCCGGCCCCCAACCCTAGACAGTGTGGAAAGATCCAGATGGGTGAGCGGAGATAGAGGTCCGGGTGCCTCACGGAGTGAGGAGGGGGCTTCCTATTTGCTTAGAGAAGGTAGATTTCCGCTAAAAATGGGGTGATAGGGGGGCTGGAGCAATAGCACAGCGGGTAGGGCGTTTGCCTTGCACGCGGCCGACCTGAGTTTAATTCCCAGCATCCCATATGGTCCCCCAAGCGCCGCCAGGAGTAATTCCTGACTGTAGAGCCAGGAGTAACCCCTGTGCATTGCCGGGTGTGACCCAAAAAGAAAAAAAAACGGGGTGATAGGGAAGTAGCCTCCAGTGCCCTAACTAGGGTTTCTTAAATGTTTGACACTCGTGATCCTTTTGGGCTCCCAAATGCAGCAGGGACCAGCGCTTCCAGAAGCACCTCAGATTCCTCATGCAGTTGATTTTTGAGGGGTTTTATTTTTGGTCCTGAGCTGCCAGGAATCTCTTTCCCTTTGCCAAATGTGTTTGCAACTCCCCCACATTCAGCTACGTTTCTCAACAGGGGGTCATGACCCACAGTGAAAGAAGAAGGGAGGGGGAAGAGGAAGGTTCCAGGCTCTTAGAAATCGCATCCAAGTAACTGTGGCTGGCAAGGGGTCACAGAGATAGTGCAGTGGGAAGGACACTTGCCTTGGGTGCAGCTGACCCTGGTTCAATCCCCGGCATCCCATATGCTACCTGAGCACGGAGCCAGGAGTCAGCCCTGAGCACTGCCAGGTATGCCCCTCCCCCCCCCCCATCCTCATCAGAACGGAGAGGCCGGGGTACCAGCTTTCCTGTTTGTTCTAGAGAAACCAACTACATCAGGCCTTTTCTCCTTCCCAACTTCCTATGGGAATCTTGCCCCCCCCCCATGCCCCCACATCCCCTCCCAGAATGTGCAGGGTGGATTGTTTGTTTTTTTTTTAATCCCATGTCACTCTCCTTTAGGGTTCTGACTCAGTCCGGGGGGCTGGGGGGGGGGGGTGTCCACTCTTTGCAGTGGCCTTCACCCCTCCAGCAGTGCCCTTGGGAAATAGGTGCTGAAGGAATGAAGGAAGACTTGGAGGAGGAGGCGGGGGAGGAGGAGGAGGAAGAGGAGGAGGAGGGAGAGGAAAAGTGAGAGGAGGAGGAGGGGAAGAGGGGAGAGGGAGGATGAGGAAGGGGAGGAAGAGTGGGAGGAGAAGGAGGGGAGGAGGGGGAGGGGGAGGAGGAAGAGGAGGAGGGGGAGAGGAGGAGGAGGAAGGGAAGGACACCCAGTCAGACAAGATGTCCTGGCCCAGCTGCTGGAGGGGGCAAGCCCTGCGGATCCCAGTGCTACTCTGTGGCAGTGAAGGGGAATGTTAGGGGCAGGAGACCACAGCAGGCGGGAATCGAGAAATAAGAGTTCTGGGTCTCATTGGGTCACCAACTGACCAGGTGGCCAGAGGAACTTCCTGTCCAGAAACCAAGATCCTTTCTTTAGTTCCAACTGCAAAGGAGGGGACCAGAGAGATGGCACAGTGGGGAGGGTGTTTCCCTGGCATGCAGCCAACCTGGGCTCGATCCCTGGCATCCAGTACGGTCCCCTGAGCACCGCCAGGAGTAATTCCTGAGTGCAGAGCCAGGTGTCATCCCTGAGCATCGTTGGGTGACCCAAAAAGCAAACAAACAAACAAAAAAAAATCCAACTGCAAAAGAGGGATTCACCAGATCCCCAAAACATTCCTGTTCCACAGTCTAACCAAGTTGTGACTCTAGAATTCTCTCAGAACTCTCAAAAAAAAAAAAACAGCTTCCATGGCAGGAGGAGGCCCAGGTCTCAGGGGGACACCCTGCTCCCAGTATTAGGGTCATATACCTCAGGTTTTGGGAACATGGATCTCAGGCCATAAGAAGGACCTAGGCCCTCACGTCTTCAATGGTGGGTCCCCGGGGGTCACATAGCTAAAAGGAGTAGGAGTGAGGGTGGTCACAGGAAATCTTTAAAATTTCTTTATTAGGGGCTGGAGCAATAGCAGAACAGATAGGGCGATCTGAGTTCGATTCCCAGCATCCCATATGGTCCCTCGAGCACTGCTAGGGGTAATTCCTGAGTGCAGAGTCAGGAGTAACCCCTGTGCATTTCCAGGTGTGACCCAAAAAAGAAAAAAAAATCTGTATTATTATCAGGAAATATTTGCCTTCTTTGTTAGTTTTGGAGGTCACACTGGGCAGTGCTCAGGGTTTCCTCCGGGTTCCGAGCTCAGGGTTCATTCCTGGTGGTGTTCAGGGGATCTTATGTGGTGCCAGTGAGGACCAGGGATCAAACTGGAATACATACATGGTCACATGCAAGGCAAGTGCCTTAACCACTGAGCCATCTCTCTGGCCCCTTGTCTGATCTGTACACCTATTTTATATACAGACATAACTGGGGTGATGGGGAAAAAAAGGGGGCTATGAGTGGGAAAAGATGAAGAAGGCTTTCTCTGGGTCAGGAGTCCTCAAAAGTGGGATCCTGAGACCCCCCGGGTGGGGTCAATCCCTACCAGGGGGAAACGCTTTGCTGAGCCTCTGAGGAGGGTCCTGGAAGCTGAAACTCTTTCCATAAGATTACAAAGTCGTTGCTATTTGGGTTTTCCCCTCCCATTGTCTTCCAAGCTCACAGTGGAATTTTCTAGAGGCGATTGTGACAAGTAAACATTGCCCAAGATTGAAAGCAGGAGAAGTGAGTCCAGCTGCCTGCTCTGAAACCATCCGGGAAGGAAAGCCACAGCTGGAGCCAGCAAGGGGGTTCTGCTCACTGCTTATTTTTGTTTGGGAAAACAGTTCTCTCATCCCCACCCAAACAAAACAAGTGGCTGTGGGGGAGGGGAGGGGCTGGGGGGGAGTCGGACCACATCCTCAGTGGTCAGGGGCCAATTCCGGCTCTGCTCGGAACGATTCCTGGCAGTGATGGTGGGAAGGATTAATCCGAGGTTGCACTGTCGCCCTGTCCTCCCATTGTTCGAGTTGCTCGAGCGGGCACCAGTAACGTCTCCATTGTGAGACTTGTTACTGTGTTTGGCATATTGAATACGCCATGGGAAGCTTGCCAGGCTCTGCCGTGCGGGCAGGATACTCCTGGTAGCTGACCGGGCTCTCTGAGAGGGACGGAGGAATTGAACCTGGGTCCACTGGCGTGCAAGGTAAACGCCCTACCCGCTGTGCTATCACTCCAGTCCCAGCCGAGGTTGACTGCACACAATACACGTTCCGTGTGTCACCCCTGTCCCATCTGATTTCTTGTAATTATTATTTTTCTTTTTTTTTGAGCCACATCTAGTGATACTCTGGGGTTACTCCTGGCTTAGCACTCAGGGATCCTTCCTGATATTGCTCAAGTGACCATACAGGGTGCCAGGGATCGAACCCGGGTCGTGGGCTGTGTGCAAAGCAAATTCCCTACCTTCTATCCTATAGCTCTAGCCCCTGTTTTGGCGTTTCTTTCTTTTTTTCTCTTTTTTTTTCCCCAGAATCCACTAAGACATAAGTCAGATGCCTCTGATTTCATTTCTAACTTGATCAATACTGAGAAATCGAAGCCTCATAAACCTTGGAGTCCTCGGGAACTGGAGAGACGCAAAGACGGAGAAGGGAGGGGCTGGGGGCCTTAGAGGGGGAGTGCAGACCAGAGAGCGGCTATTGGCTCGGCCCCCCAAAGGGGTGGAGAAAATCAGGCCCATAAGCCAACTTCCCTGAGCCTAGATCACTCTACAAAGCAGCCGTGACCAGAGCAGCTAGGGAAACTTCCCCAGGAAAGAAGCATCTCACGGCGACATGGGAAGTAAGAAGGGGACTCTCCAAACAAGACTCCAGGGCAGAGAGGCCCAGGGACTGTGGGTGGGGGCGGAGAGGTCCCCGAGGCCCCCTTGAGGGTGTCAATATAGACCCCCTCCTCCACATATGCCGGACATGATCTCCGCAAAGAGTTTCCACCCAGGGAGAGGGAAGAGAGCCATTGTCCCCTTGGGGCGGCCAATCCGAGTCCTTCCCATGCCTGCCCAGGGGGGTTGGGGAGGAGAGGAAACCCAACAACTCAGAACCCCCCCCCCCATCAAGAATCGAGAAATGTGAGTTTTGGGTCTCATTGGGTCACCAACTGACCAGGTGGCCAGAGGAAGTTCCTGTCCAGAAACCAAGGTCCTTTCTTTAGTTCCAACTGCAAAGGAGGGGGCCTCCCTCCCTCCCTCCCTTCCTCCCTTCCTTCCTTCCTCCCTTCCTGCATGCCTTCCTTCTTTCATTCCTGGGCCAGAGAGGTACCAGGGGGCAGGTACCCTGGGGAGATGAGTAGGAGGGACCCACCTTCACCAGTAGCATCCCGCGGCCATCCCAGTCCACCTGCAGGTCCTCCCCGTAGCTGAGGCGCACAGAGGCCATCACGGTGTGCATGATGCGGAGGTCACCTGGAACAGGGACAGGGACAAGACTCAGGGGGGACGGGGTTGGCCCCTGTGTGCTGGGAGGGAGGGAGGGAGGGAGGGAGGGAGGGAGGGCAGGAGGGAGGGAGGAGCTCAAAAAGGGGCAGCGGAGGCGGGTGGGCATGGATATGATGCTTAAGGGAGTCCTGGAGAGGAAGGCTGAGCAGGAGCGTTGGCAGGGAGGGGCCGGTGCCAGTCTGGATCCGGGGGAATGAGGGATGATGGGGGATGAGGGGATGAAGGAGGGTGATGAGGGATGCAGGGCCCCTGGGCGCCTGCCATTCCCGGTCCTGCCGCCAGAGGGCGGTGCAGGCTTTGCTCTCTTAGCTCAAGCTGCACCAGCGCCCCTGAAGCCACCCAGGGTGGACCAGAGGGAGGTGTCACACTCTGTGGCGCCCCCTCGGGAAAAG